CCTGCTGCCCTCATCGCCCGTCGCATTTCCGGATCCGCATTATGCGCTTGCGGAACCCGATGGTCTTGTCGCGGCAGGCGGAGGATTGAGTGTGCAATGGCTTTTGTGTGCCTATAGTCAGGGTATCTTCCCCTGGTTCGATTCAGATGACGATCACATATTGTGGTGGAGTCCGGCGCAGCGTGCTGTCCTTAAGCCCGGTGCCATGCGCCTGACACGCAGTCTGTCAAAGCGGATCCGTAACAGCGGCTTTGAGGTGACTTTCGATCTGGATTTTAACGCGGTTGTGGCAGGTTGCAGTGGCCCGCGTGATGATCAGCACGGTACCTGGATCACACCAAAAATGTCTGCCGCTTATAGTGATCTGCATCATGCCGGGTACGCGCATTCGGTTGAGGTCTGGCACGAAGACAAACTGGTGGGTGGATTGTATGGTGTTTCCATGGGCAAGCTGTTTTTTGGCGAATCGATGTTTGCGCGAGAGAAAGACGCGTCAAAAATCGCGTTTTTTGTGTTGCAGGACACGCTTGCAGAGTGGGCATTTGAACTGATTGATTGCCAGATTATGAACCCGCATCTTGCCAGCCTCGGAGTACACAGCATGCCTCGCGATGAGTTTCTGGCAGTGCTGGTCGACAATGAACAACACCCGACGCGTCAGGGTCCCTGGCAGCGCGACCAGCAGGCTGCTAGTCTAAGTTAAGCGTAGTGCGAGCAGTTTTTGGGTATGCAGGATTCCAATTCCGATCAGGTGCAGTTTTTCTTGACGCCGAAACACCCTTGTTCCTATCTGGATCGCAATAACGCGCAGACTCTGTTTTTTGATCCGCGCGAAGTCGTCTCACCACAGATTTACCAGAACCTCACGGACCAGGGTTTCCGCCGCAGCGGGAGTCACCTCTATCGGCCACATTGTGGCAGTTGCCGGGCCTGTGTGCCGACCCGCGTGCCGGTTGAGCAGTTCACGCCAAGACGCTCGCAGAAACGGGTCCTGAAGAAGAACAGCGATCTGCACGTGCGCCTTGAAGCCGCGACATTCAGCAAACGTCACTATCATCTGTATGAACGCTACATCAGCCTGAGGCATACAGATGGTGATATGTATCCCGCCAGCGAAGATCAATACCGCTCATTTCTCCTGAGTCCATGGAGTAACAGTCTCTTCGTCTGCCTGTATGATGGCGAGCGGCTCTTGAGTGTGGCGGTCACAGATGAACAGCCGCGTGGACTCTCTGCTATTTATACTTTTTTTGAGCCTAATGAAGAGGCACGCAGCCTGGGTGTGCTTAGCATTCTGAAACAGATCGAGCTGTGTCAGGAGCTTGGCCTGCCCTATCTGTATCTGGGTTACTGGATCAAAGATTGTGACAAGATGAACTATAAAACTCAGTACCGGCCAACGGAATTGTTTGTTAACAATCGCTGGGTTCTGATGACCTGAATCATGGAGAGGGCTGTGCGAGTATCCGTTCGGATACTCGCCCCGAACTCCGCACGCGAATGCGAGCGGATTTCGGTACTTTGCCTTTGTGTACGCATTGGGGCAGAATGCGCGCCTTCAAAAACTAGAAGGCCTGTGACACTGCATGTCAAAAGAAGAACAGATTGAAATGGACGGCACCGTCGTTGACACGCTACCGAACACGATGTTCAGAGTAGAGTTGGACAATGGCCATGTGGTAACGGCCCATATTTCCGGCAAGATGCGTAAAAACTACATCCGCATCTTAACCGGAGACAAGGTTAAGGTAGAGTTGACCCCATACGATCTCAGTAAGGGGCGCATCACTTTCCGCATGTAAACCTCTAAGCAGGCTTTTGCTGCCTGCTTGCTGAAAGAGCGCTGGACGCTCAGGCCTCAATCGGGCTGAGTATTTCCAGCGCAATGTCATTGTCTTCCACAGTAATTCTTACCGTTCCACCACCCTTTGAAAGGTCGCCAAACAGGAGATCTTCAGCCAGCTTGCGTTTGATTTTGTCCTGGATCAGACGCTGCATGGGTCGTGCTCCCATTTTTTCGTCGTAACCCTCTCGCGCCAGCCACTCAAGAGCTTCATCTTCGACTTCCAAGGTGACGCGCTTGTCGTCGAGTTGTGCCTGCAGTTCGGTCAGGAACTTATCTGCAACAGTTTTCACGACTTCCAGCGGTAACGCACCGAATTGCACAATGGCGTCCAGGCGGTTGCGGAATTCCGGCGTGAACATGCGTTTGATCACTTCCATGCCGTCGGTGGTGTTGTCCTGCTCGACAAAACCGATGGATGAACGATCCATTTCCTGGGCGCCGGCGTTTGTCGTCATGACCAGAACAACGTTGCGGAAATCAGCTTTGCGACCATTGTTGTCAGTTAACGTGCCGTGATCCATGACCTGTAGCAGTAGGTTGAATACTTCTGGATGCGCTTTTTCAATTTCATCCAGTAATACAACGCTGTGGGGATGTTTGGTAACGGCTTCAGTGAGCAGGCCACCCTGGTCAAAACCAACATATCCAGGTGGTGCGCCAATCAGGCGAGACACCGTATGACGTTCCATGTATTCCGACATGTCGTAACGCAGTAGCTCGACACCCATGATGTTGGCCAGCTGGCGGGACACTTCTGTCTTACCGACGCCAGTTGGGCCTGCAAAGAGGAAACAACCGGTGGGTTTGTCGCCAGCTTTCAGACCAGCGCGGGACATTTTGATCGCCGTTGCCAGTTGATCAATGGCTTCGTCCTGGCCGAATACAACCATTTTGAGTTTTTCGTCGAGGTCTTTCAGCGCCTGTTTGTCTGAAGTAGTCACCTGGGCGGACGGGATACGTGCAATTTTAGCAACCACTTGTTCGACGTCGCTTGCGCCAATACTTTTCTTGCGTTTGCTGGGTGGCAGTAGCTGCTGGGCAGCGCCGGCTTCATCAATCACGTCTATGGCTTTGTCAGGCATGAAACGATCATTGATATACTTTGCGGCCAGCTCGCTGGCGGTGCGCAGGGCTTTATCAGTGAAGCGCACACTATAGTGATCTTCGAAACGAGACTTCAGGCCTTTTAAGATGCGGTAGGTATCTTCCACGTCTGGCTCGTTCACATCGATTTTCTGAAAGCGACGCGACAGTGCGCGGTCTTTGTCGAAGATGCCGCGATATTCCTGATAGGTCGTTGAACCCATACATTTAATCTGGCCAGAGGTCAGTAACGGCTTGAGCAGATTCGATGCGTCCATGACGCCACCCGAAGCAGCGCCAGCGCCGATAATAGTGTGTATTTCGTCTATGAAAAGGATAGAGCCTTCTTCTTTTTTCAGCTCGGCTAAAACGGCTTTGAAGCGTTTTTCAAAATCGCCTCGATATTTGGTACCGGCTAACAGCGCACCAAGATCGAGAGAGTAGATTTGTGCATCAGCCACAACCTCAGGTACTGCGCCGTCGACAATACGTTTGGCCAGACCCTCAGCAATCGCGGTTTTACCCACGCCTGATTCGCCTACCAGCAGAGGGTTGTTTTTGCGTCTCCGGCACAGCACCTGGATCACACGCTCCAGTTCATCGTTGCGACCAATCAATGGGTCAATGCGCCCTGCTCTGGCTTCTTCATTCAAATGGGTTGCGAATGAGGCCAGTGCGCTCTGGCCGCTGCCTTCCGCCCCACCTTCCTCTTCCCCAGCAGGCATATCCTCGCTGCTGCCTTCTTCACCCGGCACTTTGCTGATGCCGTGAGAGATGTAATTCACGACATCAATTCGGGCAATATTCTGCTGTTTAAGGAAGTAAACGGCCTGACTTTCCTGTTCGCTGAAAATGGCTACCAGGACGTTAGCCCCGGTCACTTCTTTGCGCCCGGAGCTCTGTACGTGGAAAACCGCCCGTTGCAGGACCCGTTGGAAACCAAGCGTTGGCTGGGTTTCACGGTCATTGTCCCCGGCGGGAATCAGCGGCGTGGTTGAATCGATGTACTGGTCCAGATCAGTGCGCAATTTGTCGAGATCCGCGCCGATCTTACGTAAAACATCGATAGCAATATCGTTGTCTAGTAACGCCAGCAGCAGATGTTCGACGGTCATGAACTCATGACGTTTACTTTTTGCGACACGAAAGGCTTCGTTCAGCGTCGTTTCTAAATCTTTGCTTAACATGGAACTCGCTTTTAGTTGGTGCCTAGTCGGTCATCTCGACTGTGGAAATTAAAGGGTGGTTGTTTTCCTGAGCATATTGATTGACTTGCTCAGATTTGGTTTCCGCGATATCTCGCGGAAATATGCCTACGGTGGCTGCGCCCTCGGTGTGCACAGTCAGCATGATTTGGGTCGCTTTTTCTCGGTTCATCGCAAAAAACTGCTCCAGAATGTGTACCACAAACTCCATCGGTGTGTAGTCGTCGTTGTGCAATAAGACCTTGTACATCGGCGGTCGTTTTAACTCGGGCTTGGAGGTGGCGGTAGCCAGCCCCTGGTCTCGGTCCTGGTCGATGCCGTCGCCGCCTTCATCGTCGCTCGAGGACATTTGTTCGCTGCCCTGGGCCCAGCTTCGCAGGTACCACCAGTATCCGGGACCGTGATTTCGCACTGTCATATTAAGGTTAGTCCATCCTTACGCTTTATAGTTCTTTCTATTTAACTTTGCTGCATTGTCTTTATCCGGACCCTGGCATGTGCCCTGGTAAACATGTTTGACGGAAAAACAAACCCGTGCAGCAATTCGCGTAAACATCATAACCGTTCTTTATCTAGGGTGTCTTTCGCTTTGAACCGATGTTCCTACAAGAACTTAGATGGGGTGAAATCGGGCTATTTCAAGGGGGCGCTGGCACCTTCAGCGTGAATCCCGCGTGCCGCAAACACCTTGACTCTATTGAAGTTTTTGACCAAAGTCCGGCATTGAGGGGGGTTCGGCAGTGTCTCTGCCGACACTCAAGTGAGAGTCAGAACCGGTTGGCGTGTGAAATCGCATGACGACGAGCACCTGTGCAAGTCAGGCTCGGCAGGTTCTGATGCAGTAACTGCTTGGGAGGGCAGTCGTCATGGCAATTGGTAAGGTAAAGTGGTTTAACAACGCCAAAGGGTACGGATTTGTACTACCGGACAGTGGTGGTGAAGATCTCTTCATACACTACTCTGCGATTCAGATGGACGGCTATAAAACGCTGAAAGCTGGGCAGGAAATTCAGTTCGAGGTTGTTGAAGGCCCCAAAGGGCTGCACGCGGTAAATATCCAGGATGTAGAAGGCCACGCGTCGGCTAACGGCGAAGTGGGCGGCGTTTCGGTGGACTTTGATCTAGACAATAGTGGTTCTGAAGAACTGTCTAACGGTGCTGCTGAAGCTGCAGTTGGTACCCCGGGCGCCTCGTCTGGTTAGAGGGCCCGGTTAAGCAATCAGGGGTCTGTCTGCCACTGTTGGGCGCGCGTATGGTCTGCTTCGGCAGATTCAACCCAGTGCGTTCCCTTTTCGGTCTGCTCCCGTTTCCAGAAAACGGCCCTGGTCTTAAGATAATCCATAACAAATTCGGCTGCCGCAAAGGCCGTATCTCGATGTGCTGACGCCACGGCTACAAAAACGATCTGTTCAGTGGGTGCAAGCGTGCCAACGCGATGCACCACGCAGACATCCAGCAAGGGCCAGCGCGTCTCGGCCTGATCAATGATTTTGTGAATACTGCGCTCAGTCATACCCGGATAGTGCTCAAGGGTTAACGTGGCAACCGCTGAATTGTCGCCGGTAACCAGGTTCTGCTCCCGGACCAGGCCGGTAAATGTCACCAGCGCGCCGATTTGAGCGCCATGTTGCGCCCGCATGGCTTGCACCAAGCCGGAGGCATCGAAGTCTTCGGTTTGAATGATCACAGAACGCTGCATGCCTAACCCCCGGTTACCGGCGGTAAGAAAGCCACTTCATCACCTTCGCTGAGCGTGGTCTCATTGTCGATAAGGTCCTGATTTACAGCGATGCGGATGTTTTCTGCTTTTAAAGTCTGCAGCGCCTGATTGCCAAGCTGAATTTCGATCTGCGCAAAGAGTTCCGCCAGGTTCCCCGCCTTCAGGGTCAGTTCACCGATTCCTATTTGCTCGCGCAGAGAGGCAAAAAAAAGTACTTTGATCTGGCTCATGCTGGCATCACGTCGTTGCGGTGCCAGTCTCCGCTTTTGCCACCCTGTTTTTCCAGCACGCACAGGTCCGAAATCATCATGGTTTTGTCGATGGCTTTGCACATGTCATAAACGGTCAGCGCGGCAATGCTGGCGGCGGTCAATGCCTCCATTTCGACACCTGTTTTGCCCTCCACTGTACATTGAGCCTCGATGTGCAGTTGTGTGTCGGTGAGGCGCGTAAAATCAATCTGCACTTTTGTCAGCGGCAGCGGATGACACAAGGGAATCAGGTCTGCACAACGTTTGGCCCCTTGAATACCGGCCACTCTGGCAACAGCCAGAACCTCGCCCTTTTTTAAGGCATCAGATTCTATTGCCCGCAGGGTTTCCGGCTGCATGTGAATCACGGCGGTAGCCACCGCTCGCCTTGCGGTTACCGTTTTGCCGGAGATATCCACCATATTGGCTTCGCCCGCAGCGTTTACGTGGCTGAATGAGGGTTCTGTCATACTCGAGGTGCCTGATGCTTATCCTGCCTATTATGCCTGATTACCACTGTGACGCTCTATCCATCGGGGTGCAGGCTACTTAAACAGGCTGACACAGTAGTATCGAAATTCTGCCTGAGATGTACAAGGTGATAGAATACCTGCCGCTTTTTTTCCGATGTTGTTATGAAGACGCCAGTCACCGACCATAATCAGGTACCGCAAAAAAATCAGCGTGTCATTCTGGGCATGTCTGGTGGTGTCGACTCTTCTGTTGCCGCCCATCTGTTGCTGCAGGCGGGTTATCAGGTCGAGGGTCTGTTCATGAAAAACTGGGATGAAGACGATGGCACCGAATACTGTACAGCGCTGCAAGATCTGGCAGATGCACAAAAAGTCTGTGACACTCTGAATATCCCGCTGCATACCGCAAATTTTGCGGCAGAGTACTGGGATAATGTTTTTGCGGACTTCCTGCAGGATTACAAAGCATTGCGTACGCCGAACCCGGACGTATTGTGTAATCGGGAAATCAAATTCAAGCAGTTCGTAAACTATGCGGAACATCTGGGCGGTGACTGGATAGCAACAGGACACTACGCGCGTGGCACCTACGATAACGGCACCTTTGCACTGCGCAAAGGTATCGACGCGAGTAAAGATCAAAGTTATTTTTTGCAGGCTGTGCCCTCCTCCCAGTTACGTAAATGTCTTTTCCCGTTAGGCAACTGGCAGAAGCAGGATATTCGCGCGATGGCCGCTGAGCTTGGATTGCACAACCACGCCCGCAAAGACAGCACCGGCATCTGTTTTATCGGCGAACGACGTTTTGCGGATTTTCTTAAACGTTATATCGAAGACAACGCCGGTCCCATGGTGGATGAGAACCGTCGTCTCATCGGCGAACACCGAGGCTTGCATCAATATACGCTGGGGCAGCGCCAGGGTTTGAATATCGGTGGTGTAAAGGGCCGGTCCGAGGCGCCCTGGTATGCGGCGGGCAAGCAGCCCGCCACCAATACGCTTGTGGTTACACAAGATCCCAAGGTCCTGGAGGGCAGCTGGCTACGCGCAGGTGATGTGAACTGGCTAGCTTGCGTGAGCTTTCCGTTGGCCTGCCACGCCAAAATTCGTTACCGCCAGGCAGATCAGGCGTGTGTTGTCTACCCGGCAGCAGACGGGGATTTGTTGGTAAAGTTTGCCGAGCCACAACGCGCCATAACGCCAGGCCAGTTTGTCGCTTTTTATAATGGTGACATTATGCTGGGCGGCGCGCGTATTAATTCCTGTGATATCAGTCTGAAACTAAAGTAGAGCCCTATATGTCAATTGACCCCCTCCTCGCCGTCAGCGCTACAGACGGTCGTTACCGCAGCAAAGTAGAGCCGTTGGCAAAATTAACCAGCGAATTTGGACTGATGCGTTACCGCGTCGAAGTGGAATGCCGATGGTTTGTGTTTCTCAGCCATCACAGCGATATCCTGGAACTGCCTGCTTTAAGCGCCCAGGACGAGAAATTTGTGGTCGATATCATCGAGGGTTTTGATCTGCAGGCTGCCCAGGCCATCAAAGACTTTGAAGCAACCACCAACCACGACGTTAAAGCAGTTGAATACTACGTTAAAGCGCAACTCAGCCAGAATGATGCCCTGGTGCCATACGTTGAATGGATCCATTTTGGCTGCACATCTGAAGACATAAACAATGTCGCTTATGCTTTGATGGTGAAACAAGCTCGTGAGCAGGTGCTGGTTCCACAGATGATGAAGCTTGTGCAAACCCTTGATGGGCTCGCCGTTGAACATGCGGAGCTGGGGATGTTGTCTCGCACGCATGGCCAGAGCGCATCACCGACAACCTTGGGCAAAGAGTTCAAAAACGTTGCTGTTCGCATGTTAAGACAGGTGCGACACTGCCAGCAGACGGTTATTCTGGCAAAGTTTAATGGCGCGGTAGGTAACTTCAACGCCCACCTGAGTGCCTACCCCGAGTGTGACTGGGCTGCGCTCTCAGCGAATTTTGTTGAAAGTCTGGGTTTGACCAATAATCCCTGGACAACGCAAATTGAGCCTCACGACTATCTCGCGGAACTGTTCCATACCCTGACCCAATTTAATCAGGTGTTACTCGATTTCAATCGGGATATGTGGAGCTATATCGCTATTGAGTATTTCACCCAGCAGAAAGTTGAAGGCGAAACCGGGTCATCGACAATGCCGCACAAGATAAATCCCATCGATTTTGAAAATTCTGAGGGTAACCTCGGCCTTGCCAATGCACTGCTCGAACATATGGCTAACAAATTGCCCGTGTCCCGATGGCAAAGAGACCTGTCTGACTCCACAGTACTACGTAACATCGGTTCAGCCTTCGCCCATTGTCTGATTGCCTATCAGGCGACACTCAAAGGATTGTCCCGTTTGCAGGTTAACAGCCAGGCGATTACGCGCGATCTGACAAGCAGTTGGGAGGTGTTAGCCGAACCTGTACAGACAGTCATGCGTAAATATGGTCTCAGTGAACCCTATGAAAAACTAAAGGCTGCGACCCGTGGCCAACAGATTGATGAAGCTGTATACCGGCAATTGATTGATACCCTGGACCTGCCGCCTGTGGCCCGGGAGGAGCTGCGCGCCCTCACTCCAGATGTATATCTGGGTCTGGCTGCAAAACTTGCTCGGCAACCCCTACCCTTCTAACAGGTATTTACTATGGCGCTCGATGTGCACGTTGTTACCGCCTCCTGGGATCAGCATAAACAAACATTGCGATCGATCCGCGAAGACGTATTTATCGTTGAACAGGAAGTTCCGCGCGAGCTTGAGTGGGATGATGAGGATGAAACAGCGACGCATTTTCTGGCGGTGAACAGTCTGGGTCAGTTTATTGGTTGTGCACGTTTGCTGAAAAGTGGTCAGATTGGGCGTATGGCGGTGCTCAAGTCACATCGCGGCAAAGGCATTGGAAATGCGCTATTGGAAGCGGCGGTAACCGCGGGTAAGGCTGCTGGTTTTGAGCGATTGTTTTTGCATGCACAGAGTTATGCAGAACCCTTTTATCGTCAGGGGGGATTTTTGCCTTATGGACAAGCGTTTACTGAAGCAGGCATTGCGCACATTGCCATGGAAATGAAATTACCGTTGCCGTTTGAACCGCCTGCAGATCTGCCCGCTAAGAAAGTGTCACCTGATTCAGGGCATACAGCCGATCCGCCAACCCGTTCGGTCAGCAAAGCGGATTTTTTTGAAGGTTACAGCGACTGTTTACAGGCATTGGAACGGGTGATCGCAAGTGCCCGACGTCGCCTGTTGATATTGAGTCCTTATCTGGACCACGAGTTGTTTGACCGGGAACACATTGCCCAAGCCGTTTCAGCACTTGCGCGCAGCGCACCCCGGGTGGAAATCGAAATACTGATCTTCAACAGTCAACTGATGGTTGAGCGTGGCCACAGATTGCTGGAACTCGCGCGCAGGTTGGATCAGAAAATAACCATACGTTTGCTGGATGAAACACCGACGGGTACATCGTCCAGCTTTGTCTGTGCTGACCTGGATGCATACTGGCTACTGCCGAGTTTTGAGAAGCACCAGGGTATTGCGGATCTCAATAATCCTGTAACAGTAAAACGGCTGAATGAAACTTTTGCAGAAGCCTGGCGTAAAAGCAGAGAAGATCCTAATTTGCGTCTGCTGCGGATCTAACCCTTTGAATCAGCTGCCCTGGTGGGCAACTAAAAAAGCTTTGAGCTCTTCATAGGTATCAGCTTTTTTATACTGCGGAAACTGATCGCAGATGGCTTGTGGTGCTTGAAAGAAAAAGCCGTGGTCCGCCTCCTCAAGCATGGTGATGTCGTTAAACGAATCTCCTGCGGCAAAAACTTTATATTGCAGAGATTTGAAAGCTTTCACGGAACATCGTTTTGGGTCGGGTTGACGGATCTGGTAATTCTGAATTCGGTCGTCGACGATGTCGAGTTTGTGGCAAAGCAGCATAGGCTGATTGAGTTTTGCCATTAAAGGCCCGGCAAATTCGTAAAAAGTATCCGAGATGATAGCAACCTGGAAGTGTGTTCGCGCCCAATCGAGGAACGCTTTGGCGCCAGGTAAAGGGTCCAGTTTGTCGATTTCGGCTTCAATGGCGGACAGCTTGATATCGTGCTCCGCGAGGATATTCAGGCGGTACTGCATGAGGTCATCGTAAACCGGAATGTCCCGGGTGGTTTTCTGTAAAGCCTCTATACCTGTTGAACGTGCTACTGCTTGCCATACTTCAGGTACAAGCACGCCTTCCAAATCTAAACACAAGATATCCAAAGTTCTTTTTTCCTAACTGTTTTGCGGGTTATTTGACGGGCAATGACAACGTATCGAACAAAGCCTCACGTTCTTTGCGTGTACCACACGCCACGGCCTGCTGGACCATTTCCGTATCCAGGTGGGGTGCAAAGCCTGCTATAAAATCGAGCATGTAGCGGCGCAGGAAAGTACCTTTGCGAAAGCCGATTTGAGTCACGCTGGAGGCAAATAGATGAGATGCATCCAGCACCACCAGGTCGCTGTCTATCGATGGCTCGTATGCCATCTGCGCAATAATACCTACGCCCAGCCCAAGCCGCACATAGGTTTTGATAACGTCCGTGTCGGTGGCTGTAAACACGACGTTAGCGGTCAGTCCGGCCTGGTTGAATGCATCGTCCAGTTTTGAGCGGCCGGTAAAACCAAACACGTAAGTCACAATTGGATGGCGCGCGAGGGCCTCCAGGGTCAGAACCGAATCTGCGCACAGGGGGTGGTCCTTTGGTACAACAACGGCTCTATTCCATCGATAACAAGGCATCATGATCAGATCGTGAAACAGTTCGAGCCCTTCGGTGGCGATGGCAAAATCAACTTCCCCGGATGCGGCCAATTCTGATATCTGCTCCGGGGACCCCTGATTCATGTGCAAACTGACATCCGGGTAAGTCTGTCTGAACTCGCGGATGACGGGTGGTAACGCGTAACGTGCCTGGGTGTGCGTGGTTGCAATCGACAGGCTGCCCTCTTTTTCGTTGGAGTATTCCTGGGCAACCTGCTTGATGGCGTTTGCCTGACGCAGAATGTTGCCCGCCATGGCAATGATTTCTTCGCCAACCTGAGTGACATGGGTGAGATGTTTGCCGCTGCGAGCGAATATCTCGACGTCAAGTTCGTCCTCCAGCAGACGTATCTGTTTGCTGATACCCGGTTGTGATGTGAACAGACTCTGGGCGGTGGCGGACACGTTCAGGTCGTGATGGGCAACCTCCCAGATATACCGTAACTGCTGCAACTTCATCAGACCCTCCCGATGGGGACATGCTACTGAGTTATAAGAAAGGCTCTCAGCATAACTCAACAGCTGAATACAGCGCTATGGTTAAGAAGCTGTGATCACTTGTTGATGACCCCATGCGGGACATGGCCGGTGGCCACATAATCGGCGGCGCGTTCACAATGGGCGGATTGGTCATCAAAGAAAATGTCAGCTTCAAAAGCCTGCAGGAACTGGGTCTTATCCATGCCTCCGAGAAACAGAGACTCGTCCAGGCGTATGTCCCAATCTCTGAGGGTTCGAATAACCCGCTCGTGTGCCGGCGCGCTGCGCGCTGTGACCAGGGCTGTGCGTATCGGATTAGCGCCTTCCGGGAATTCCTTCTGCAGTTCGTGCAGGGCGGCGAGAAAGGCTTTAAATGGTCCTCCGCCCAGCGGCTCCTGAGCCTGGCTGTGTTCCGACGCGCTGAATGCCGCCAGACCATCACTCTGATAAATCTGCTCCGCTTCATCAGAGAACAGCACTGAATCACCGTCAAAAGCCAGTTTCAGCTCTGAACTTGCCCGATTAGGGTTGTGCCCCCGGTAGCGGCCCATGAGTTGAGCGGCGGCCACATTCTGTTCCAGGGCCTGGCGAACATCTTCAGCGTAGGTCGACAGAAACAGGTCACACTGAAATGCGTTGATGTAACGATAAGGAGATTGCCCGCCGCAGAAAGCGGCACGTGTGATGCTCAGGTCGTATGCGCGAATGGAGTTGAACACACGCAGACCAGTGTCTGCTGAATTACGCGAAAGAAGAATGATTTCCACTCTAGGTTTTTCGAGTAACTTATTGATATTTAGGAGTTTTTCAACCAGGTAGTAACCGTCTCCGCGTTCCAGGATAGCGTCTTCCTGGGCGATCTGATAGCGCCGATACGCTTCCAGACCCTGTTCAACGTAGATGTCATTAGACTCTGTCAGATCAAATAATGCGGTTGACGAAATGGCAACCGTCAGGGGTTTGCCTGTTGAGTTCATGCGTCGAGATCCGGTATCAGTTCGCTTTCCAGTTTACTGATCATATCTTTAAGTTTCAGCTTGCGTCGTTTCAATCGAGCAATGCGCAGTCCATCGTGATGTTGACCATCAATCAGGTGTTTGATCACAACGTCTAAATCGCGGTGCTCAATGCGAAGTTCATCCAACCATCCCTGTAATTCGATCTGGTCCACGTCAGGTTGTTAGTGCCGTTTGAAAACCGTGGCATGATACGTTCTTCTGCAGTTGGTGTAATGTGCTTTTGAAAATCTTACTGTTTGCCGGGCTTGTCTTCATGTTGCTTGTTGGCGTTGCTTATCTCAGTCGCACCCGCGGCCAAAGCCGTCGACCTCGTCCGAAAAATCCTCAGAACCTGATGGACACAGAACAGGCGCGCGGCGTCTTAGGTATGGACGATGGCCCTCTGACCGCAGAAGCTGTGATCGCTGCCCATCGCCGTCTCATGCAGCGTGTGCATCCCGATAAAGGCGGATCGCAGGTGCTTGCCCAGCAGTTGAACGAGGCAAAGCGTGTACTGCTCAAAGAATTGTCTTAAACACGTTTTCAGATTGCGGCACACTTCACTTCTTTAGCGCGCCTTTGTCATTAATCTGGCAGCATGCCTTATTTTGCGCTAGCAGAACGCCGACTCAAAAGCCGCTATCCAGCGGATGGGTTAGTTGTGAGTGTGCGGAAAAAAGGTGGCCTCCTGCATTTGCAGGGCTTGGCTAAAGATTTCAATCGTCATGGCATTGCACTCCTGCTTAATCAGGCCCTCGCTAAAGATTCAAAGGTCTACATCTCTCTCGGCTTTGGCGATACTCAGATTCAGAACGTGGCGGGTATCGTGCACAATTGTGTTGCGCTGCAGGCTGGTTATCGTTGTGGAATTCAGTTCAGGACCGCTCAGCAGTCGGAACAGTTAGAAACAAATGTGCGATTACAGTTGCTGGAAGATCAATTTGTGGCGATGAGTGCCGGGCGTTCCGCACAGTGACGGCTGGGCAGTCATTCTGACAGGGATCAGGCGTTAATCAGGCTTTCGGCTTCGTTTTCAAGGCTGATCAGGCGTTTCACCCAGTTATCCAACAGCAGAAACTCGTCATCCGGGATGTTGAAGGTGCTGCTGATTTCTTTCAGCAAACATTCTTCTTCTACTTCGAATGCGCCATCGGCGTAGCTGAGTTTGAGCAGATTTAACAGAGCAACCACCCTTACCGGGCGAGTCGAGAAAATCTGTGAAATGCCGTCGAGTTCCAGGTAATCCAGTTCGTGTCCTGTATCAATACCCATTTCCCGACGCAGCTGTTCCAGCATACCTTCTTCATTGGGGTCCAGAAGGCCATCCGACACCACGACATTATGCGCCAACCCAAGCAGGGCTATGCGCTGCGCCTCGCTCAACGTGGATAACCACATCAGTTTAGCCCTGTATCAAGCCAATGATGCTGACGCCAAGACTGGCAATCATCACCAGAACACAAAGCCAGCCAAAACCAAGCATGCCTTTCATGACAATGTTCTGGTCAAAAAAATCTTCTATCAGATGCCACATAAATATTGTTTTCCGTGCTTAGGGGGTTTAAAGGTTCGATTACCATCGTGATGGCCTTATTTTAGCGCGGACTGGGCTCAACAGGTAGCACAACAGCACACTTTGTCAGCCGATGCTAATGAATCCGGATAGGCTGACCGATCCAGTGACCGTATAAGTCATGGTCGTCGTGACGGTCAATTTTCACTTGTGCAAACTCACCCGCTCGTAATCCTTTAGCACCAGAGATATGCACGGTGCCATCAATTTCCGGCGCGTCGTATTTTGAACGACCAATGGCAATTCCTTCAGCGTTCTGCCCGCCCTCGTCGACGATCACCTGCAGCTCCTGTCCAATGTGTCGATTCAAGCGGGCTGCTGAAATATTGGCCTGCAGTTCGTACACCATTTCCTGTCGGTCCAGTTTATCAACCTCGTCAATCGGGTCTTCCAGGGCATTAGCCCGTGCGCCGTCGACGCTTGAATAAGTGAAACAGCCGACGCGATCGAGTTGTGCCTCTTCCAGAAAATCCAGGAGGAGACCAACATCGTCAGGGGTTTCCCCGGGAAAGCCGACGATAAAAGTGCTGCGAATGGCCAGCTCCGGGCAGATTTCCCGCCATCGATTAATGCGTTCCAGGGCTTTTTCCGCCGCCGCCGGCCGACGCATGGCTTTGAGTATTTTGGGTGACGCATGCTGCAGAGGAATGTCGAGATAAGGCAGAATCTTTCCTTCCGCCATCAGAGGAATCAGATGATCCACGCTAGGATACGGATAGACGTAATGCAGGCGAACCCAGGGTGCAATATCGCCCAGGGCATCACACAACACATCGAGCTTCGCCTGTAGTACCTCGCCATCAACGTCAGCACTGGCGTATTTGAGGTCAACACCATACGCGCTCAGATCCTGGGCAACCACCAACAGCTCTTTGGTCCCCTGGGCTACCAGTGCGTTTGCCTCGTGCAGAACACTGTCGATGGGTCTGGAGCGCAGCTTACCCCGCATATCCGGAATGACGCAGAAGCTGCACGTATGATTACAGCCTTCAGAAATTTTAAGGTAGGCATAGTGAGCCGGGGTCAAGCGTTCACGTACTTCCCTCGGCGATGGTTTTGCCTGCCGTTTGGCCGGCACAAAATGTTCCACGGCAGCGATAACAGGTGCGACGTCCGCAGGACCCGAGACAAACTTGAGCTGGGGAAAACGTTCCAGCAACTCATCACGCTGGGCGCCAAGGCAGCCGGTTACTATCACCTCCCGCTGTTCCGTCAGAGCCTGCTCGATGGTAGCGAAGCTTTCCGCTTTTGCCGTGTCGATAAAGCCGCAGGTGTTGATTACGGTGACTTCTGAGGGTTCCTCTGCTGCAACGATGTCGCAGCCGTTATCCAGGAGCTCTGTGATGATCTGCTCTGAGTCCACCAGCGCTTTCGGACAGCCGAGGCTGACAAAGCTGACGCGCCGTTTATTCAACGTTTCTTTCACAGGTGAGACTCTTCTTTAGGGTTGCAGGGCGCGCGAGTTTAGCTCAGCACGGTGGAGTTAGGCTACAATCCCGCAGTGTCGAAGTCTTTTGTACAAATATCACCCACCCTTGCTGATCTGGCGACGCGGCATACGGTTATCACACCTAACGAACGGCTCGCGCGTGAATTCAAGCTGGCTTTTGATCAGTATCAGATGCAACAGGGTAAGCTTGCCTGGGTCGGTTTAACCTGTATGAGTCTGCAGCGTTTTCTCCTGCAGCAACTAAGCGATCACGTTGATCAAATAGATGGCGCGGCTGCAAAACTGCTCAGTGTTCATGCGCTGCGCGAGGCTGCGTTCTTAAGCGCGCCGTTACCCAGCCTGAATCAGGTGGATGCGTTCTGTAGCGCCTGGCAGCTCATTCATCGCTTCGATATTGATCTGCAGGGTGCAGCTTTTTCGACGGTTCAGGGCGAACTGTTCCGGCAATGGTTTCATACGGTACAGCAGGCCTTACCCGAGGATAAGGTGCTGCCCGAAACGCTGGGGGATTATCTGTGTACCCATCGTGTTTTGCCTCGGCAGCCTCTATTACTGCTGGATTTTGAGCAGTTAACGGCGGTTGAACGCCGCTATTTCGATTTTGTCGCGCGGGAGCTTGCGGTACGCGTGTGTAACAGTGGTATCGAGGTGTCGCAATTGTGGCCCGCTTTAAACATGGGCGAGTCACAGGCGTCAGGCTTGGAAAAGGCATCCGGCTGCTTACCCGAAGTCACCTCTTATGAAAATCTTAATGATGAATTAGCGGCTGCCGCGAGCTGGGCCCTTAGCGCCAAAGCAAATGACTCCACAGCTACGGTTGGCATCGTCGTTCCGAATCTTGCGCAGAACTATGCTCGAGTGCAACGTCAGGTAGCGGCAATCCTTGACCCTCAGCGGGGCAGCTTAACTCAGACGTTTGATCTGTCGGCAGGTCTTGCGTTATCCGATCAGCCTCTGTGGCGTCACGCCAGTCAATTGTTGCATGCCTGCAGAGATGGGTTCAGTCCTGAAGTTTGTGCAGAGCTTGGCAGTTCGCAGTTTTTTGATCTGTCCGGGCTGACTGAGTTAGCCATGCATTGGCCCGGACACTGGCATCTGTCTGTTTCACTGAAGGATATTTTGCAGCGAATACTGCCTGAGCAGGACGTTCGTCTGGATATATCGGGCGTGCACACTTTCGGGTATTGGTTGGTGCAATGCCGCGCGTTGCTGACGGCATGTGGATGGCCACAGTTGAATACCCTGGGTTCGACAAGTTTCCAGGCTTATCAAAGTCTCGAAGAGGCTTTTAATCAGTACACTCTGGATAGCCTTGCACAGGAGATGACGTTTACACAGATGTTAAGTCTGTTAAGCGCATCACTTGGATCCCAGGTTTTTGCGCCGGAAAGGCCCCACGCGGACATCCTGGTGCTCGGCGAACTGGAAACTACCGGTTTAAGCTTTTCCCATTTATGGGTCTGTGGTCTGGACGAAAACAGCTTTCCGGTAAAAAACGTGGCGCATCCTTTTATTCCCAGGCGGGTGGCTCACGCTGCTGGTGTGCCGCGAGCAAGCCAGGCTGATGAATTAGCATTTGCGCAGCGTCGACTCACACACTGGCGTACCCATGCAGGAAAGCTGGTACTGAGTTTCAGCGCCCAGTCACAGCAACATGATCAGTTGCCCAGCCCTCTTATCAGCGACTTTCCGGAAATGGCTGCGGCGCCAGTCATTGCGGTCAACCCATTTCAACGGGCTGTAGATGCCGAGGTTGTTTTAGAAAGCTTCATTGATGTTCGCGGGCCAGCAATCGCTGAGGGCGAAGTTAAGGGTGGGACCGGCCTGTTGCGGACCCAGGCCACCTGCCCCTTCAAAGCCTTTGCCCAGTACCAGCTCGGTTTAACTCAACCCAATGAAGTCAGCAGTTTTCCGGACGCCTTGACCCGCGGCAATCTCCTACACGATACGCTGTTCGATCTGGTGCGTCGGCACTCTACGCAAGATCAGTTGGCTACACTGTCGTCTGCTGATATCCGCCGCGCCTGTCAGCAGACGTTAGAATCCTACCCGCGTCCACTGCCTGTCCTGTTCGTTGAGCAGGAGATTGAGCGTCTGACCACCCTTATTCTGCGGTGGTTGAAACTGGAAGCAGCCAGGGCACCGTTTGCCGCAATTTACCTGGAGGAATCGTTTGTGCTGAAGTTACACAACTATCAGTTTTCCATCCGTGTAGATCGCGTCGATCGCATCGATGGCGGGCTGGTTGTTATTGATTACAAGACTGGCCAGGTTAACTTGAGTGGTATCACAAGTAGTCCGACACGTGACCCGCAGCTGCCTGCATACAGCCTCATAGATGCAGAAATTGTTGGTGTTTATTTTGCTGAGATCAGAGACCAGGCACGTTTACTGGGAGTAGCTGATGAGACTGGTCGCATACAAGGCGCGCAATACTCCAAGCAATTGCAGCAGGCGGACAGCTGGCGTCTCCATCGACAGCGCTGGCAGGACGATCTGGGTCAGCTGGCTGAAGAATTTGCTGCCGGGTACGCTGAGGTTGAGCCGGTAACAGGTGCCTGTCGATACTGCCACCTTGCGGATTTATGCCGTATAGAAGATCAAATTGAGTCCTGAGCAGAAAAAGATCCCTGATGCAGACGTGCGTGAGCATGTGCTGGCGCCTGGGCAATCATTTATTGTTCAGGCGCCAGCGGGCTCTGGTAAGACAACACTGCTGGCATCAAGGTACGTTGCGCTGTTGACCCAGGTTGCGCGGCCGGAAGAAATTCTGGCAATCACGTTCACCAAAAAAGCTGCTGCGGAAATGCGCCACCGCGTTTTGAAAATGTTGGCTGAAGATACCCCTCTAGCAGCTGCGGTGCTTGCGCGCGATCGCGAACTGGGGTGGCAGATCTTTACCAACCCCAATGTGTTGAAAATCCAAACTATTGATAGTTTTGCCCTGGATGTCGCCAGTCAGGTGCCATCACTGTCGCAGGCGTCGGGCCTGGGAATAGTGGAACGTGCACAGCTCAATTACGCCAGTGCTGCGCACCGGTTATTCAATCGCCTGTACAGCGAAGATCAGACGAATCCTTTAGTAGCGCAATTTCTAGGATTCTTAGACAACGACATTAACAGAGCCATTCGTTTACTGAGCTTCATGTTAGCGCGGCGTGACCAATGGCTTGAACCAGTCAGGGCTGTGGCCACAGCTCGGGGCCAGGCACAGACGGCGCAGCTGGTTGCTCAGGCGATACAAAATATACGTCAGGCGTTGTCGGATCAGCTTGAAGCCGAGTTCACTCCCGCTGACGAAGCAATGTTGCAACAACTTGCAGACGTCTGGGGTCTTGAGGACGTCCGCGATGCGCTGTTGCCAAGGCTGCTGACCGCTAAAGACGAATTGAGAAAACGGTTGACGGTCAAAGAAGATATTACTGATGCAAGCCTGAAGAAAAGCACCAAAATCTGGCTGGAGGAGTTGGATCTTCGAGGTCTGGGGCCATTGATCGTTGCCTACACCAAGTTACCCAAAGCGTTTGATCCCGAAGCCATTTCGCCCGCCGAGCAGGCGATGTTAACTAATCTGCATTTGTGTTGTGTTGGGGTGTCGCTGGCGGTTTTTGAATTAGAGACCGTGTTTCGGGAAACTACGCAGATTGATTTCACTGGTATTCTGCTTGCAGCCAAAGCGGCGCTGCGGGATGAACAGGGACCGACCGACCTCGCTCTGTACCTGGACTATCAGATCTGCCATCTGTTGGTAGATGAATACCAGGATACTTCACGAGCTCAGTTCGAATTTTTCTCCATGTTGATTGAAGGGTGGCAGCCTGGCGACGGTAAAACGTTTTTTGCGGTCGGTGACCCGATGCAATCTATTTACAGGTTCAGGGATGCTGACGTCTCCATCTTTAATGACAGTATTGCCGTGGGGGTTGCTGACACCCCCCTGATTCATCGTCAGTTAAAGTCTAATTTTCGCTCTGCACCCCCAGTTGTGGAGTGGTGCAATGAGTTGTTCAGTAGCGTGTTTGCGGGCGGGCGCGTCGCGTCGTTGGGTGAAGTACCATTCAGTCCTGCGGTAGCCATGCTGGATGATCAGTCGATTGCTCCGCTGAAACCAATCGATAGTCTTATTTTCAATGACACCCGGGACGAAACTCGCTTTCTGCTGCAGGCTATACAGGAGCGTTTAGATCATGATCCTGAAGGCTCAATTGCCATTCTGTGCAGGGCAAGAAATCATGTGGTGCCTTTGCTGAAGCAACTGGCAGATGCGGGTATATCTGTGCAGGCTAACGATATGGATCTGCTCGCTAACCGAGGTGTTGTTCGCGATCTGATGAACCTGCACCAGATCCTGTTTAATCCTGCTCATCAGCTGGCGTGGTATGCGGTGCTGCGCAGTCCTCTGTTTGGCTTAACGCTCGATCAGTTAGCCAGGCTGGATGTAAAACTGGATGTGGCCACCCAACTTACCTCACTGCTTGAAACAATACCCTGCCTTTCACGCCTGTTAGAAGCGATTGCCTGGGCAGAACAGCGCAGATACGAAATACCTTTACGAGAGTTGCTGGAAGGTTTCTGGTCACGTTGCGGTGGGGTTGACGCCTACGCACGCGCTGATTTGGAAGATGCTTTGGCCTGGTTTGATCTGGTTGATGATCTGGGTATGTCTGCTTACGACAACAGCTTGCTGGAGTCGGCATTGGGTGCTCTGTATGCAGCTTCGGATCAGAACGCTCAGGTTCAGGTCATGACTATCCACCGCGCCAAAGGCCTTGAGTTCGATCATGTTCTGCTGCCTTATCTTGATAGCCGGACGCGAGCGGATGACCCGCAATTACTTTTATGGCGAGCGGGTGCTACCGGTTTGCTCATGGGTGTTAACGGCGACCCGGTGCATGAATGGCTCAAGTTTGAAGAGCGCGCTCGTGCCAGTAATGAAGAAAAGCGCATGCTTTATGTGGCGTGTACCAGAGCCGTGAAATCTCTTGTCACCACATTTACCTGTGAAGAAGGTAAAAATCCCGCTGGCCTGGCTAAGTGGGTTGCGCCCTATGCGACGCGTTGGGTGGCGGCAGAAAACGACACCCTTTCTGAGATACAGACAGACTCTCCCATAAATTCTGTCGCCGAATCACCAGCATTGGACGGCCGGCTAAAACGTTTGCCGTCTGCGTATCGATGGCAGGCTCCTGCAGCGGAATTACAACCCTGGGGTTCATCTGCAATCGGAATTGTCGATCTTGATGAAACCACTGCGGTTGCATCTGACAGTATTAGTGAGCGATTTGAAGTGATGCTTGGACTGCTGGTACACAGAGCCCTGCAATGGCTGGCCGAGTTCCGCCTGATCTCTGGGTCGGATACCTCCAGGGATTCCGTAAGCTCTGTTGAATTGACCGCGAGGCTGCAGAGGTGGTTACCAGCGCTTAAAGCACCGCCTGTGCTGCATGACGCACTGATTGAACAAGCGGTGATCCAGATTATGGATACCCTGCGGGATGCATCAGGGCGATGGATCCTGCATCCACATCAAGCGGCTCAAAACGAATGGTCATTGTCAGGTGTTGTCAACGACCAGCTGGTTAATGCGGTTCTTGATCGAAGTTTTATCGAGGCTCGCCAACGATGGGTGATTGATTATAAAACCGGTTCACCCAGCCATGGTGAAATGGTTGATGCATTTGTTCGTTTAGAAATTAACCGCTATCGGCCCCAACTTAAACGTTATAAAATTCTATTGTCAGCTCTGGAGCCAATAACCGTGCGAACCGCGCTGTACTTCACAGCTCTGTCCCGCTTTGAAGAAATCCAGATCGATTAAGTCGTTGCAATTCTATTTCGCCGCGCTAATATCCTGTTCCATGAAATCACACTTGAACACAGAGACTGTTTCCACTGACGCGCTTCGCACGCAGATGCGGGCTGTGCTGGGTGCTGATTTTTCATGGCAAGGCTTTTTTACCTACTTTTACGAGTAACCCAGCCTTCATAGATATTATCAGGAGGCAGGTAGCTGCCTTCTACGGGAACCCCGACAGGCAGCTGGCCTCTCGGGGTTTTTTTATGCCTCCCTCCGGCAGTTTAGGAGGCGGTATTTTTTGGAGAGCAATATGCAGTTAGAAAATTTGAATGTGGAGAAACACGAGGTGCTGATCACGCCGGAAGACCTGAAGGCAAAATTGCCGGTAACTGAAGAAATATCAGCAGCGGTAAATGCCTATCGTCAGACGGTGCGGGATATTGTTGCCGGTAGAGACGAGCGCCTGCTTGTGGTTGTTGGCCCCTGCTCCATCCATGATCCCAAAGCCGCGCTGGAATATGCGGGCCGCTTGCGAAAGCTGCAGGATGAAGTCAGCGATCATCTGTTTCTGGTCATGCGGGCTTACTTTGAGAAGCCTCGCAGCACTGTGGGCTGGAAAGGTTTGATCAATGACCCCCATCTTGACGACAGTTTCTGCGTGTCAGAAGGATTGGAGATTGCACGGCAGTTGCTTCTGGATATTTCGGCGATGGGCCTGCCCATTGCCACCGAAGCCCTGGACCCGATCACACCACAATATCTGCAGGATCTTATTTCCTGGTCGGCTATCGGCGCGCGTACCACGGAATCACAAACCCACCGGGAAATGGCTTCGGGGCTGAGTTGTGCTGTCGGGTTCAAAAATGGCACCGACGGATCCCTTGGCGTTGCCATCAACGCTTTACAATCGGCGATCAGTCCACACCGATTCTTAGGCATAAGCCCATCCGGTCAGGTGAGTGTTATCCACACCCGGGGTAACGAACATGCACACATCGTTCTGCGCGGAGGGTCAAACGGGCCGAACTATGACCCCGCAAGCGTTTCCCAGGCACAGGAAAAGCTGGCAAGCCTCGGCCTGCCCGCCTCTATCATGATTGACTGTTCACATGCTAATTCGAACAAAGATCACCAGCAGCAGAAAAACGTTCTGCACAGCGTGCAGGATCAGCGTGGCGGCGGCAATAAAGCCATCACTGGCGTGATGATAGAAAGTAATCTGGAAGCTGGGAATCAGAGTATGTCGGATCTGAGCCAACTGCGTTACGGAGTTTCGGTAACCGATGCGTGTATTGACTGGCAGGAGACCCAGTCTCTGTTGCGCGATTTAAACGCGGCTCTGGGTGTCAAAGCCGCCTGAAAGAGGTCGGCTCTGGAAAGATGAACGATGCTGTGAGTTAGCTGTAGTAGGCGTTCTCGGTGACGCTGTGATCGGTTTGATCGAGGATGCTACTCAGCTCAGGGACGCGCTCCAGCAACGTCGTTTCGACGCTGTGCTTGAGGGTGATGTCGACTGCTGAGCAGCCTTGACAACCGCCACCAAACTGTAGAACGGCTGCTTTATCCGGGGTGATTTCTACCAGTGAGACAACGCCGCCATGCGCGGCCAGACCAGGATTAATTTCGTTGTATAACACGTAGTTAACGCGATCTTCTAAAGGTGAATCTGGCCCAACACTGGGCACTCGGGCGTTCGGTGCTTTGATGGTTAGCTGACCACCCATCTGATCCTCAGAATAGTCGACTACAGCATCAACCAGGTAAGGCTCGCTGCGTCCTTCAAACCAGGCGCGAAAACCCTCATATTGCACCGCTACATCTCCTTCCTGCTCTTCGCCAGGACGGCAATAGGCAATACAGGTTTCAGCCTGAGCGGTGCCCGGTTGAGCCACAAACACGCGGATGGCTACATCACCATCTTCCTGTTTGCTTAACAGTTCTTGCAGGTAGCTTTGTGCGGCAGCAGATATTTCGATCATGGTGTGCGGTATTTTCCCAGTGGTGAACAGGTACAGGTTTATACCCGACTATTTTAGTCGGGTATAGTCGTTTGTGGAAGATTAATCTGCTTCAACTTGGCCTCAGCATCCTTCAATTGTGCCCACGCTGATGCTCCTATACGGTGCGCGACTCAAATCCGCTCTATTGACCAACCGCAAGTGAAAATTTATGTCCGAAGCGATATCTCAAGATCAGCCAAAACTCAGTCTGCAGGCGCTGTTGGAGCAGCGGATATTGGTGCTGGATGGTGCTTACGGAACCGCCCTGCAGGGTTATGGACTGAGCGAAGCCGATTATCGCAACGCTGAGCTGGATAAATATGCAACGCCTTTGATGGGCAATCATGATCTGCTCTGCCTGACACGGCCAGAAATTGTGCAGGAAGTGCATGCGGCTTACCTGTCTGCCGGTGCCGACATCATCTCTACCAATACATTTTCTGCAACCAGTATTGCCCAGGCTGATTTTGGCACTGAAAGTCTGAGCTATCGTGTCAACGAAGCCGGGGCTCGAATCGCGCGTGAAGTCGCCGATCAGTTTTCAATCCCTGAAAAGCCGCGTTTTGTTGCCGGTAGTGTTGGCCCTACAAACCGTACAGCCAGTTTGTCACCCGATGTGAACCGGCCTGGTTTTCGTAACGTCAATTTTGACGAACTGGTAGAGAGCTATAGTGAAGCTATTCGCGGTCTGGTTGCCGGCGGCGCTGATCTTATTCTTATTGAAACGGTGTTTGATACGTTGAATGCCAAAGCGGCTATTTTCGCCGCAATGGCGGTTAACGATACGTTGTCCGAGCCCATGCCATTGATGATCTCGGGGACCATCACGGACGCCAGTGGACGTACCCTCAGCGGTCAGACCTGTGAAGCGTTTCTGATTTCGATTGCCCACGCTAACCCCATAGCCATTGGTCTGAATTGCGCTTTAGGTGCCGAGCAATTGCGTCCTTACATTGCGGAACTGGCACAAAAATCAACCGCCGCAATCAGCGTTCACCCCAACGCGGGGTTGCCCAATGCGTTTGGTGAGTATGATGAAAGTGCCGAACATATGGCGACTGTTGTTGGAGAATTTGTTGATCAGGGATGGATCAATATTGTTGGTGGCTGTTGTGGAACCACGCCGGAACATATCGCTGCGATTGCGCAGCGGGTTGCGGGTGTTCAGCCAAGAATACCTGTTGCGGAAAATGCCAATTTGAAGCTGGCGGGTTTAGAAGCCCTGAACGTCACCCCGGAATCTCTTTTTCTCAACGTTGGGGAACGTACCAATGTAACCGGTTCTGCGCGGTTTGCGCGTCTGATACGCGAAAATGCTTTTGATCAGGCTTTGGACGTTGCTCGAAATCAGGTTGAAAACGGCGCGCAGGTTATCGACGTGAATATGGATGAAGGCATGCTTGATGGCGCCGCGGCGATGGTGGAATTTCTGAATCTGATTGCCTCAGAGCCAGATATCGCGCGTGTACCGATCATGATCGATTCAAGCAATTGGGACATCATCGAAGCCGGTTTGAAATGTGTGCAGGGCAAGGCGGTTGTTAACTCAATCAGCCTGAAAGAAGGCGAAGCCACTTTTATTGAACATGCACACAAGTGTCGGCGCTATGGCGCTGCGGTTGTGGTCATGGCGTTTGACGAAGATGGCCAGGCGGACACCTACCAACGCAAGATTGAGATCTGTGAACGCAGCTATCGTATTCTCACGGAAGTTGTTGGGTTACCGGCTACAGACATCATATTTGACCCTAATATCTTTGCGATTGGCACCGGTATTGAAGAACACAACAACTACGCAGTGGACTATATCGAGTCGGTTAAATGGATTGCGGAGAATCTGCCCGGTGCGCGTACTTCCGGTGGTTTAAGTAACGTCTCTTTTGCCTTTCGCGGGAACAACCCCGTGCGTGAGGCTATTCATACGGTGTTCCTCTACCACGCAATTCAGGCGGGTATGTCCATGGGTATTGTGAACCCGGCGCAGCTCGGTATCTATGCTGAGATACCGGAGGCTTTGCGGGAACGGGTCGAAGACCTGGTTCTGAACCGACGACCGGATGCCACGGAACGTCTTTTAGATGTGGCTGGTGAATTCGCCGGCCAAAGCACCGACAGATCAAAAGAAAAGGATATGTCCTGGCGTGAATTGCCGGTTTCCGAACGTCTTTCCCACGCGCTGGTGAAGGGAATAACTGAATTTATTATTGAAGATACAGAAAATGCGCGTCTTGAAGCAGCAAAACCTCTTGATGTGATTGAAGGACCGCTGATGGCGGGTATGGGCGTTGTTGGAGATCTGTTTGGCAGCGGAAAAATGTTCTTACCTCAGGTTGTAAAAAGCGCCCGGGTAATGAAGCAAGCTGTTGGACACCTGATTCCGTTTATCGAGAATGAAAAGAATGGTGCGCCTACCAGCAAAGGCAAAATCATCATGGCCACGGTAAAAGGTGATGTGCATGATATCGGTAAGAATATTGTTGGTGTGGTTCTGCAGTGTAATAACTACGACATCATAGATCTTGGCGTCATGGTGCCCGCAGATAAAATTCTGCAGGCCGCAGTGGATGAAAATGCCAGCGCGATTGGTTTGTCGGGGCTGATCACCCCATCACTTGATGAAATGGTCAACATTGCCAGCGAAATGCAGCGGCGTCAGATGAATATTCCTCTGCTCATCGGCGGTGCAACCACGAGTAAGGCACACACTGCCGCTAAAATTGCACCGGCTTATGACAACAGCGCAACGGTTTACGTGACCGACGCTTCTCGAGCGGTCAATGTCGCAAGTGCCCTTCTTTCAAACCCGGAAAGCTATGCACAATATGCTCAGGCAATTGAGGCTGAATACAGTACGGTTAGAAATCGGGTAGAAGCGCGCCGCTCAAAACGCCAGTTTCTGACTTTTGCTGACGCCCAGGCCAATGCTGCGGCGATGGCTTGGTCGTCTGACAATATTTGTAAGCCGAACAACATGGGTGTCCACATAGTTGAACCGCAACTTGCGGAGCTGGTGCCTTATATCGACTGGACACCGTTTTTCATGACCTGGGAGCTCGCCGGTAAATATCCCAAAATTCTGCAGGATGAGGTGGTTGGCGAAGCTGCACGTGCACTTTTTGAAGATGCGCAGGCGATGTTAACCTGGCTGATAGAAGATGGCCGGTTAGCTGCCAAAGGCGTTTATGGTATCTGGCCAGCAAACCGATCCGGTGCCAACGACATTGAGCTGTTTACTGATGAGGCTCGTGTTGAATCACTGGCTACGCTGTACCACTTGCGTCAGCAAACGCCAAAACCCGACGACTCTGCGCCAAATTACTGTTTATCGGATTTTATCGCACCTGAGGGTATACCGGATTATCTGGGCGGCTTTGCGGTGACCACAGGTCTGAATATCGACGCCGTGCTTGCCGAACATGCTGGCGATGACTACAACGAGATCATGATCAAAGCGCTGGCTGATCGACTCGCGGAAGCATTTGCCGAATATCTGCATGAATATGTACGCAAAAACGCCTGGGGTTACGCCGCCGATGAGGCGTTGGAGACGGAGGCTTTAATCGGCGAAAAATATGCGGGCATTCGTCCTGCCCCTGGCTACCCCGCCTGCCCGGAGCACAGTGAGAAAGAAACGCTGTTTGAACTGTTGGATGCGACAGCAAATACAGGTATCACGCTCACGGACAGCTATGCCATGTCACCCGCTGCAGCTGTGAGCGGTTGGTATTTTGCACACCCGGAGAGCCGTTACTTCGGCATTGGTAAGATTGATAGTGATCAGGTGGAAGATTACGCCCGGCGTAAGAATATTGACCTGGAGAAGGCGCGGCAGCTGTTGCGCCCTGCGCTGGCTGACTGACCGAGTTTACGGCCAGAGTGACATCAGAGCTGTTTCAGAAATCGAAGGTAAAGCCGGAGATGAAATGAACAGCCATTAATGTTGCCGCCACAAACATGACGATGATCGCCTTGGTGTCGGCCCGGGTATCTTCTGTGTTTTCCACATCCTGGGGTTGTGAAACCTGCTCGTCACTCATATCTGGTTCGCCTGTGGTTGTCATCGAGGCGCAATTATAGTGAATATTTCTGTGTTGCCTAGCGCTCGGTGCGAATCTTGTGAATCGCTCATAAGCTTATAATCGGGATGTTATTGGCAAGTTCTGGCACGCCTGGTAACGTGCCTGCGCAAAAACCTTTCGACCAACTTTGAAGATGCCTGCCACCTATGTATAGATACGACGACTTTGATCGTAACTTTGTCGCTGAACGTGTTGCCCACTACCGCTCTCAGACGGAGCGGTATCTTGCCGGTAAGCTCAGTGATGACGAATTTCTGCAATTACGGCTGCGTAACGGCCTGTATGTGCAACGCCTGGCGCCCATGCTCCGTGTCGCGGTCCCTTATGGAACGCTTTCAGCAGGACAGCTGCGAATGCTTGCGCACATAGCACGCCAGTATGACCGTGGCTATGGTCATCTCAGCACCCGTCAGAATATGCAGTTCAACTGGCCGGACCTGGCTGAGGTTCCGGACATTCTGGAAGATCTGGCGAAAGTAGAGATGCACGCCATCCAGACCAGTGGCAACTGCATCCGTAATGTCACTACTGATGAATTTGCAGGTGCGGCGCGCGATGAAGAAGTTGATGCCCGCCCTTATTGTGAAATCATGCGTCAGTGGTCTACCAACCACCCTGAATTTGACTGGTTGCCCCGGAAATTCAAGATCGCTGTTTCCGGCGCAACAACAGACCGTGCGGCGATTGCAGTACACGATATCGGTTTACGCGCCGGGCTCGATGCCCAGGGCAAAGTGGTATTTGACGTGTTTGTTGGTGGCGGTCTGGGCCGCACACCGGTTATCGGCTCACAAATCTACAGTGGCCTGCCGGTACAGCATCTGCTGACTTATCTGGAATCCATCATGCGCGTCTATAACCGCTATGGTCGACGCGATAACAAGTACAAAGCGAGGATTAAAATTCTCGTTCGCGCCATGGGTGCGGATGCTTTCAAAGCCAAAGTTGAAGAAGATTGGCAAGAGGTCAAAGATGGCCCCTCTACTCTGCTGGATGCCGAAGTTGAACGTATGGTTGCTGCCTTCGAGCCCCCCGCTTTTGATAAGTTGGAAGATGCCACAGCACAGCTTGACGCGCTTCGTTTTGAACACCCTGAATTTGGACGCTGGCTACAGCATAACGTCAAACCGCACAAACAAACGGGTTATGCCGTTGTTGTTCTGTCTACGAAAGTCACCGGCGTGCCTACTGGAGATGTCAGCGACGAGCAGATGGATGCAGTGGCTGATTGGTCGGAGCGTTTCAGCTTCAGCGAGTTGCGCATCTCTCACGAACAGAACTTCGTACTTCCCCATGTGCCTATGCAGAACCTTTTTGAACTCTGGCAGGCGGCAACGGCCCATGATCTGGGTACGGCGAACATTGGCTTGCTGACAGATATTATCTGTTGTCCTGGCGGAGACTACTGTTCGCTGGCTAACGCTAAGTCAATTCCCGTGGCTGAAGCCATTCAGCAGCGCTTTGACGACGTTGACTATCTTCATGATCTGGGCGACCTGGACATCAATATTTCTGGTTGTATGAATGCCTGCGGTCATCACCATGTTGGCCACATCGGAATTCTGGGCGTTGATAAGAAAGGCCAGGAGTTCTACCAGATTTCATTAGGTGGCCATTCCGGGCATTCCGGTTTACCTGCTTCTCTCGGACAGATCGTCGGGCCAAGTGTGGCGCGTGAAGAAGTCACCGATGTGGTTGCCGCAATTTTTGAGGTCTACCTGCAACAGCGTCTGGAAGGTGAGCAGTTTTTAAGCTGTTTCAAACGCATATCCATTGATCCATTTAAAGAGAGAGTTTATGCCAACGCTGATTAAAGCCACAGCAAACGGCTGGGCAATTGCACCTGAAGCAACAGACGTGCAATGGCAGACGCCGGAAGACTGGCACAGTGGCCAGCCTCTGTTGCTCAGTGCAGACGCAGAACCGCTGCCTGAATTCTCGACCGCCGAACGCATCGCGATTGAGTTTCCAGCATTTAATGACGGTCGCGCACTTTCACTGGCCGTTTTGCTGCGCACGCGTCTGGGGTTCGCCGGTGAACTGCGTGCGGTAGGTGCTGTGCATGAAGATATTCTGCATTACATGGTGCGTTGCGGTTTTGATGCTCTGGAGATTCCGGATGAACGTGATGTGCAGACCGCGCTTGCTTTGATCAGCCCATACAGCAATGTGTATCAGGGTTCTGTCGACAACCCGGAGCCATCTTTTCGGCGCATGCAACGCGGCTGATCCCCGCGTACACTAGGCTGCGTTCATCTCAGTAAGAGCACTTACGTCACCATGCCCCACGCAGGCATCATTGAGTCGTTTTTCTACATATTTGCCGGCGCCGCGGTGCTGGCGACCTTTGCCCTCTACACGCGACAACCCATGCTGGTGGCCTATGTTGCGCTAGGCTGTTTGCTTGGACCTTTTGGTATGAGCTGGGTTGATGACCCGGCTCTGCTCTCAGAAGTTGCTGAATTCGGTATTATTTTCCTTCTGTTCCTCGTCGGCTTAGATCTGCAACCCAGCAAGCTTAAAAATATGGTTGGCGAGTCACTGTTAACAGCACTTGTGACGACGCTGGCATTTTTTGCGATTGGTTTTGCGGTCATGCTGGGTTTTGGTTTTACCCTCATCGAAGCGGCTGTGACCGGCATAGCGGCGTCGTTTTCGAGCACTATTCTGGGAATAAAGCTGCTGCCGACAACCGCTTTACACCATCGCCACGTGGGTGAGCTTGTTGTCGCGCTGCTGTTGATTCAGGATTTGCTGGCTATTCTTGCGATCCTGCTCCTGAATGGTTTGGGCGTTGATGCTGCCGCCCTGCTCAGCAGTCTTGCGTCCATATTTGTCGGTTTACCTTTAATTGCTCTGCTGGCCTTCCTTGGCGTTAAGTACGGCCTGCTTTATCTGATCAGGGCATTTGATGCCTTCCATGAATATATTTTCCTGCTGGCGATTGGATGGTGTCTGGCGATAGCACACCTGGCAGCATTTTTCGGCTTATCGCTGGAAATAGGTGCGTTCATCGCCGGTGTATCGCTGGCCACCAGCCCAATATCACAGTACATCGCAGAAAGCCTGCGACCGCTGCGCGATTTTTTTCTGGTGTTGTTTTTCTTCTCGGTGGGTGCGGCGTTAAACATCGGCCTGCTGCCAGAAGTCTGGTTACCAGCGGCGCTGCTGGCGGCTTTGCTGATCGCCCTGAAGCCGCTGGTTTTTGCCGGTTTGCTCAAGTATCAGGGCGAAGACACCAAAGTAGCCTGGGAGGTGGGGTATCGGCTCGGGCAAGCTTCCGAATTTTCCCTGCTGCTATCCTACATCGCGATTGCAAACGCCCTGGTGGGTGAGAAAGCGGCATTGATCATACAGTTCTCGACCGTTCTCACATTAGTGTTGAGCAGCTACTTTGTCATTTTTCGCTACCCGAGCCCTATTGCACCAAATCCTAAACTGCGTCGGGACTGATTCCACCTTGGCGCCCTGCGTGGATACCCACCGTACCGACAGGTTACAGTTTAACAACGCCACGTCCGACCATCTGCCCTGCCAAAATACGATCAATCGCATCGGACAAGGTATCCAACGTAAGCGGCTCTTCCAGCTCAGCAAGGTCAACGTGCCATTCCTGCGCCAGCCTTGTCCAGATACGGCTTTTTTCTGCTAACGGCAGTTCTACTGAATCAACGCCCAGCAGGTTGACGTTGCGTAACAGAAAGGGCAACACGTTACCCTGAAAACCGGCACCAGCAACCAGGCCACATGCGGCAAGGCTACACCCATACTTCAGACTTTTGACAGCATTAAACATTATGTCACCACCAACTGTGTCGACGACGCCGCCCCAGCGTTCTGCGAGCAATGGTTTTTCAACACCTGCGGATGCGTCTTCGCGGCTTAAGATTTCTGATGCTCCCAGCGATTTCAAAAATTCATGTTGTTCGGGTTTGCCTGTAACAGCGACAACTTCATAGCCCAGGTGTGCAAGCAGCTTAACGGCTACTGAGCCGACGCCGCCGGTTGCGCCGGTAACCAGTACGGGCCCGGATGCAGGCGTCATACCTGCGTTGGTTAACTTGTCAATACATTCTGCGGCCGTAAAGCCTGCCGTACCTAACAACATGCTGGTGTGAAGATTGAGTTTCTCAGGACACTTGATAACCCATTCTGCCGGCACGCGAATTCGTTGAGCAAAACCGCCAGGCGTATTCATGCCGAGATCAAAACCAATCACGATTACTTCATCACCCGGAGCAAAGTCAGAACAGCTGCTTTCCAGAACAACGCCAGCCGCATCGATGCCAGGTGTATGCGGGAAGTTGCGGCTGACACCGGGGTTGCCGGTGGCAGATAGAGCATCTTTGTAGTTCAGTGATGAGAATTTGACATCAATCATCACATCGCCGGCAGGCAGGTCTGCTTCCTGTCGTTCGATGACGGAACGGGTGAATGTTTTGTCGTTTTTTTCAATCCAGAAAGCAGTAAATGCCATGGTTGTTTTCCTTATCCCCTGTTGAGTATTGTTACCTACTGGTAAGCATTCGAATAGTTGCTGTCAGTGTCTGTTAGGTGCAAACACCTGGCCGACGTTGTCGACGAGGGTGTTGACCTTGCCAAGAATTTTGTCGAGTGCCTTTTGATGTTCCACCCACTGCACCTGATAAACATCCCGGTCTTCACAGCAGTGTGTCAGATACTCATCGCTGGTTGCCAGTTCATCTACCAGGCCAAGACTGATCGCGCGGCTGCCATACCAGGCTTCTCCGGTAGCTACCGCATCAATATCCAGATCGGGACGGTTTCCTACAACAAACTCCTGGAACAGGGCATGCACATCTTCCAGTTCTTCGATAAATTTTTCTCGTCCTTCCTCTGTATTTTCGCCCAGCGTGGTTAGCGTGCGCTTGTATTTGCCTGCTGTCAGGATCTCCACGTCAACGTCATTTTTCTTTAACAGCCGATGCACGTTGGGTATTTGTGCGACGACGCCAATTGAGCCAATCAAGGCGAAGGGTGCTGCAACAATTTTGTTTGCCACGGCGGCCATCAGGTAGCCACCGCTGGCTGCGACACGATCAACCACCACCGTCAGCGGGATGTTCCTGGCCCGGACACGACTGAGTTGAGATGCCGCAAAGCCATAGCTGTGTACCATACCGCCCGGACTTTCGATGCAGATAACCACCTCATCCTGTGGTGTGGCCAGCGTCAACACAGCGCTTACTTCCGTTCGCAGATGTTCCACCTCTGAGGCACTGACATCACCTTCAAATTGCAGCACAAATACTTTGCCGGTACCCGGTTCGCTCGCTTCTATCGCGGCTGGCTGGGCTGGCTTTTTGCTGGCTTTCTGTTGCGCCTTGAGCGCCTGAATCTGTGTTTTCTGTTCTTCTTTGAGGGCTGCCGATTCTGCTTTGGCTTCCAGTTTGTGCTGTTTCTTAACCGCGTCAGGTGGCAGCAGTTGCCCTTCCATGGCATGACGCAGTTCGCGAAGCTTGTTGTTCAATTTGGTCACGCGCAGATGCCCGTGCCCTTCGCCGAATGTCCCGCGATTACTGGCGTTGGCGATGGCAGAAATGATCACAACGATGGCGACAACGATGGTCATCACCTGGGCTAAGAAGATGAGGTACTCAAAAAGATAAGACATATAGGACTGCTGAACTCAAATAGCCCGCTACTGTATAGGCTGTGGCGTGATGACGTCTACCAGCTTTGCAGGTTCCAGCTTTGCAGGTTCCAGCTTTACAGGTTCCAGCTTCGCAGCTACCACCGTCTCCCTCATCGACGCTAAATCTATTCGGGCTGAGACTTGACGCAACCCCGCTGCTGCCTTAAACAGTTCCCCTGCATTTTCAATCGGGTTTTTATGTCTTTATTGCATCATTATCTGCAACAGCATTTCGATGCGTCACAGGTAGGCGAGCTGGATCTGCGTGTACGGTTCGATTGGCAGGCGGGTTTCCTGGATGCTCATATCGGGTCGGGGGCTGTGCAATGGCTTGATAGCGGCGATCAGGATGCGACTGGTGCGGAGCCGGAATTGACCCTGTTCTTTACAGATGAGCAGTGCGCACTGGACATATTCAGCGGCCGGCAAAGCCCGATCGATGCCTTTATGCACGCGGATTTTCGCAGCAGCGGCTACATCATCTGGACGTTTGCCCTGCTGCGCATTTTTGCCGCGCCTGTTCCACCTCCACCAGCGGCTACAGAAACGGGTTAAGCCTGATTGCGACGCCGCAGGAACTCTTCGATCAGCCAACCGGAAATGGCGGTTCTGGGAGGCGTCTGCGGTAAGCCGTCGGGTTTGAACCACTGAGCATCTGCAATTTCATCCGCCTGGCAAACGATGTCTCCACCGGCATATTCGGCGTGGAAACCAAGCATCAATGAATTTGGGAAGGGCCAACTCTGGGAGCCAAAGTATTCCAGATTTGTAACGCGGATGCCGACCTCTTCGAATACTTCCCGGTGCACAGTCTGTTCGATCGACTCACCCGCTTCTACAAAGCCGGCAAGTGTGCTGTACATACCGTTCGGCCAGCCTACGTTCCGCGCTAACAACATCTCGTCGCCTTTGGTCACCAGCACGATAATGCTGGGAGATAATCGCGGGTAGTTAATGAGCCGGCATTTCGGACACTGTTTGGCGCGATCGTTGGGATGGTCTTCCATGGGGATCCCACAACGCCCGCAGAACTGATGGGTTTCGTGCCATTCGATCACCTGTTGCGCGCGACCGGCCAGGTAAAACAGTGACGCTGACGTGCGTCCCAACAGGCCACGCAGCGCAGTCGTCTGGAAACCTTCTGTCAGCTGACCACTTGCAGAGAGAGCAAAACAGGGCCTGTCGCCGTAGTGTCCGAGAAAGTGTTTGCTGGACGTTTCCATATCAAACCAGCGGAAATCGTCAGCAGTTGTGGGTTCTGGTACACCTTGGACTGATTTGATGATCAACTCTCCGCGATGAAACACAAAGTACCAGGCATCACCATGGTCAGCATCATCCGGCTCAATATGTGATGGCAGAAATTCGTCTGGATCATGTGGCCACATGGCGCCTCTCCTCTCGCAAAAAGTCAAAAATACCACATCTGCAATAACCCCTCCTATACTGTCTAGGAAACCTGCGCAGAATTCTCCCTGCTGCAGCGTAAAAGCAGCTGAGAGGCCTGCCCTGGATGAGTTTGGACAGAACGATGCAAGTGATATCAATTGTTGCCGATTGCGTATCAATGCGGCATTGTTTGACAACAATTTAGCCCGTCGGTATGTCGCAACATACGGGCACACGCCGTGCGGCAGGCGCAGGCCAATACCCACAGGACAGAAGATTAACTAAGGCTTTGATATGAGTGCGCTTACTCTCAATTCGTTTTCTCAAAATTTTCTGGGACAGGCGCCGGGTTGGTATAAGTCAACAATATTTGCGTTTCTGCTTCTGAATCCGCTGCTGCTCTTCACCGCTGGTCCGTTTGTAACGGGCTGGGTATTGGTGCTGCAATTCATATTTACGCTTGCCATGGCGCTGAAGTGCTATCCCCTGCAACCCGGCGGGTTGCTCGCGATTGAAGCCGTTGCTCTCGGAATGACTACACCGGATACCGTAAGGGATGAGATCGTCGCGGCTTTCCCGGTGCTGCTGCTGCTCATCTTTATGGTCGCAGGCATCTACTTCATGAAAGAACTGCTGCTATATGTCTTTACGAAAATACTTTTAAAAATACGCTCTAAAACGCTGATTTCACTGATGTTTTGTTTTGTTGCAGCAGCGCTTTCGGCTTTTCTGGATGCACTTACGGTGACCGCCGTGGTGATCGCTGTGGCTGTGGGGTTTTACTCTGTCTATCACCGTGTGGCATCAGGTAAGCAGTTTCGTGATGAGCATGAACACGGCGCGGATGAGTCTATCGGGGAGCAATACAGAGACGACTTGGAACAGTTCCGCGGTTTCCTGCGGAATCTGTTAATGCATGCAGCTGTTGGCACCGCGCTTGGCGGTGTGTGTACCACCGTGGGTGAACCTCAGAATCTATTGATTGCCAGTTATACCGGCTGGGATTTTGTCGAATTCTTTATGCGCATGGCACCGGTGACCATGCCTGTATTGACCATCGGCTTGCTCACCTGTCTGTTGCTGGAACGTTTAAAGTGGTTTAGCTACGGAGAGAAGTTGCCGGAACGCGTGCGCGAAATTCTGCTCGAGTTTGACGAACATGAGGCTGCCCATCGCACGGGTCGTGATGTTGCGCGTCTTGTCATACAGGCACTGTCAGCTATTTTCCTGGTTTTTGCGCTCGCATTTCACGTTGCCGAAGTTGGCATTATTGGTTTGACCATTATTGTTCTACAGACAGCATTCAACGGCATTGTTGAAGAGCATCAGTTGGGCCATGCGTTCGAAGAAGCCCTGCCTTTCACTGCATTACTTGTTGTCTTTTTTGCTGTTGTCGGTGTGATTCACCAACAACACCTGTTCTCGCCTATCATCTCCTGGGTGCTGTCGTTACCCGAAACCTCCCAGCCGGGTATGTTCTATGTTGCCAACGGTCTGTTGTCTGCTATCAGTGACAATGTGTTTGTTGCAACGGTTTATATCGGCGAAGTGAAAGCCGCTTTCGACAGCAACACCATAAGCCGCGAACACTTCGACCTGCTGGCGGTTGCGATCAATACCGGTACAAATATTCCGAGTGTGGCGACGCCGAATGGTCAGGCTGCGTTCCTGTTTCTGCTGACATCGTCGATTGCACCGTTGATACGTTTGTCATACATGCGCATGGTAGTCATGGCACTACCTTATACGCTGACAATGGGGCTAACGGGTTGGTTATGCGTGCAGTATCTGCTCTGAACCTAGTCAGCTGATCTGCCGCGCCATATGGGTTGGCCGCCAGACTTGGCGCTGAGCATGTCAAGATAGTCTTCGTGAGCTGCCGCCTCTGCATCAGTCGCGCGTACAATGCGCAGGCCTTCCCCGTGCAATCGCTGAGGCGCAGACGTGGTAGCTGTATCAGCATTGCTTGAACCCTGGGCACCGCCAAAGAGATGTGTCTGTCCACCAGTCATCAACAGGTAGACGTCGGCCAGAATTTCAGCATCCAGCAGAGCGCCATGTAACTCGCGATGGGTATTGTCCACCTCGTATCGTCGGCACAGAGCGTCGAGGTTATTCTTCTGCCCGGGGTGTTTGCTTCTGGCGAGTGCCAGGCTATCTTTTATGCGGCAGATATTGGCTGTCAGGGGCGTTCCTGGAAGGCGCTTGAATTCACTGTCCATGAAGCCAACGTCAAAGTCGGCATTGTGAATAACAAGCTCAGCGCCTTTGATAAAATCTATAAATTCCGCGCAAATTTCGGCAAACAGAGGTTTGTCCCGCAAAAAGGCACGTGTGATCCCGTGTACCTCCAACGCGCCTTCATCTATGTCTCTTTCAGGATTGATGTACTGATGAAAATGCCTGCCGGTCAGCCGCCGGTTGACCACTTCCACAGCACCAATTTCAATAATACGATGGCCCAGCTCAGGTTCGAGCCCGGTGGTTTCAGTATCAAGAACTATCTGCCTCATCTACGTCTCTTCGTTGTTTTACTGCGACTGGTTGTCAGCCATCAGTTCATCAATTGCATCGTTTGCAGCCTGGTCAGCCAGTTCGTTTTCCGGATGTCCACTGTGTCCTTTCACCCAATGCCACTCGACCGTGTGGTCTGCTAGCGCTGCATCAAGTTGTTGCCACAGATCCTTATTTTTTACAGGTTGCCTTGATGCTGTGCGCCAGCCGTTGCGTTTCCAGCCATTAATCCACTGGGTTATGCCTTGACGCACATATTGTGAATCCGTTGTCAGCGACACACGACTGGCTTTTTTGACGGCCAGTATTCCTTCGATGGCTGCCATCAGCTCCATGCGATTATTGGTGGTATCCATCACCGCGCCTTTGATTATTTTTTCGTTGCCTGCCGATCTCAATACAGCCGCCCATCCGCCGGGACCAGGGTTACCCCGACAAGCCCCGTCGGTAAAAATTTCTACAAGATTCTGATTCAAGGTTTAATTCTTCGCCAATTCGATACACTAGGATAAGCGACGGGCGCTAGAGTGTGGCGATTTTTTTTGCTCAGACGCTGTGGTTTCATCGGTACTGCCTGTTTTACCGCACTGACAAGTAACAGGCCAGCGAACGGCAAATTCAAGGTGCTTGCGCCTTGGACGATAGCCTGTTCGTATCTGTCCAGCAGAGGTAAGTCCAGCTTTTTCAGCAGCCGCGAAAACGGTAGTCCGTAACCGCAGTAAAGTGGGCGTACGTCTAGTTCATAACCCAGCAACGTAAGCCAGTCAAAAAGGCGTAGCGGATTGACCAGTTGCTGTCCGCTCAAGCTGTCTTGAAAAACGCGGGCATAAAGTCTGCGTATGCCCATCATACTCATCGGGTTAAAGCCGCTTATCAGTAATCGCCCTCCTGGAGCCAGTACACGGGTGACTTCGCGCAGTGCAATGCGGGGGTCGGCGGTATCTTCCAGAGCGTGATGCAGGACAAAGGCGTCAATTGAATTTGACTTGAAAGGCAGTGCTTCTAAACGTCCCCCCAGACTGGCTATATCACTCTGTCCGCGTTGCACGCTTTGCTGCAGGAAACATGAATGGCGAACCATGCATCGCTGTAATGCGTTGGCGCTGGCCGGATGTTCGCCCGCCCATATAATGACATCACCATGCAGGCGACGCACGAATGGCGCCATGGCAACGGCTTCAAAAGCCAGGGTTTCGCGACCCAACGGCGAGTCCCAGAGGTGGTTAGTTAATCGATTCGGTGCATCACCGTTATCTGCGTCACATTGAGGGGTCGGTTTGGTTGCCAATGGTTTTACATTCCGCCAAAGTGAAGATAAATCAAAGCGTCAGGCCAGTTAAGAGCCAAAAAGAAGCGCTTAATTTCAGGGGGATAGTGCCATAGACCGGATGTCCAGGGCAAAGAACCTATTTAAGTTAACTTGAAAGGCAAAATTTAGTGACCTTTGAAAGCAAGATTAAGGCCTGCAAGTTGGGCTTGCTTGGGCTGTTCGGCTGCACGCTGGCCGCCAGTTGCCAGATGGCACCGCAATTTCAGGCTCTGCCTGTGGTGGCCGAAGAGGACCCCATTAAGCAGACGACGCCGTTACTGGTGGTTCAGCCTGTAATGGCTCTGGCGGGCGCTCAGGCCGCGTTGAGCATGGATATGTCCACAACGCCAGTGCGCAGCCCTGCTCCACCGCCGGAACCGGATTTGTGGCGCGAGATGCGGGCGCATATGTATCTTGACCTGCATCTGGATCATCCTCGCGTGCAGCAGGAGTTGCGTTGGCTGAAGCGTCACCCAACCTACCTGAAACGCCTGCAGCCACGATTACAGAATTATCTGCCTTTTTTATATAGCCAGACCCAGCTGCGCAGTTTACCTGCCGAACTGGCTCTGTTGCCCATCGTCGAAAGTGCATTGGATACTTTTGCTTTTTCCCATGGTGGCGCTGCTGGCCCATGGCAATTTGTGCGCGGTACAGCCCGTCAGTACGGTCTGGAAATAAACGATTGGTACGACGGTCGTCGGGATGTGATTGCTTCTACCGAGGCTGCGCTGGACTATTTGACTTATCTGAACAAACGATTCGATGACTGGTATTTAGCGCTGGCGGGCTACAACGCTGGCCAGGGAAACGTCTCGCGCGCTCGACGGAAAAATCCTGGTGCTGGTTTCTTTGATCTGCGTCTGCCAAAAGAAACTCAGGCTTATGTGCCTCGTTTGCTGGCACTCAGTGCGGTGATCAAAAACCCACAGAGCTTTGGCATAACGTTACCAAAGATTGAACCACGAACGACTTTTCACAGTCTCAACACCCATGGTCAGTTTCAGTTAACCAAGCTCAGCGAAGCGCTTGAACTGGATATGGATGATATCTACCGTTGGAATCCGTCGCTGAATCAATGGGCTACGCCGCCCAAAGGTCCACACCGGCTGATAGTGCCCGCCAGTATTGATCCAGTACTGGCGCAGCAGACAATTGATGCAATTCCCGCAAACCAGCGTGTAGATTGGCAGGAAATCAAGGTTCGCTCTGGTGATACCCTCAGTCAGATCGCGCGTCGTCATGGTACTGACGTCACGTCCCTGCGGATGGCCAATAACTTAAGCGGGTCAACTATCCGTGCTGGTAAAAAGCTGCTGATACCCAAACATGCTGCCGCACTTAAGTCCACGCCGCGCAGTGCCAAAGGTGACGTCGATTATGTTGTCGCCTCAGGCGATTCGCTGTGGACGATTGCGCGCAAGCACAATGTTGACATGACCAAGCTCATGCGTAACAACCACCTGGGTCCCAAAGACACGCTTGCAGTAGGTAAGACGTTAAAGATTCCAGGCGTTTCCGGACAAACACGTAAAGTGACGCGCAAAGTTCACTATAAGGTCCGAAGCGGAGATTCGCTGGCAAAGATCGCCGGCAAGTTTAATGTGTCTATCAATCAGATCGCGAACTGGAACAAGCTGGATAAAGCACGTTATCTGCAGCCCGGTCAGCCGCTGCAACTCTACGTCAATGTAGTTGGCGGCTGAAACAGGCCATCTGTCGGTTTTAACTGGCGGGCTGCTTGACACCGAGCTGTTGTCTCGCGGCTTCAAACAGCCCCTGGAAATCCAGCCTAGCGGCACGATTTTCGGCAACTTGACGCAGCTGTTCGATTTCCGCATCTGTTGTTGTCGTGGGATCTCCCTGTATAACCCGGGTCACAGTGATAAGCGCTGCTCCATCTGGTAGATCGGACATGCCCACTGATTTTTTACCTGGCAAAGGACGCGCTAGATCGAAGGCCGCTTCGAGTACGGCATTGGGGATGTTCTGACCGCTATTCGCGCGTGCCGCCAACTCAAACGTGAGCCAACGGCTGCCTAAATCGCGGGCTATTTCAGTCACGCTTTCTCCCGCGGAGAGACGTTGCATGCCTTCTGCTTTTGCTGCCTCAATTGCTGCGAGCGCTTTTTCGCGCACCAGGTCACCACGTATTTCATCAGCAACCTGATCCAAAGGTAAGGGTTCCGGTTCATATTGCTTATCGACGCGTACAACAACAATTTGTGTGTCATTAAGTTCAACAGCGTCACTATTCGTGCCTTCAAGAACCTCGCTGCTGAATAACACTGAATTGATTGCAGGGTCGTTCAGTAATGGGTCTTCATTGCCACCGGACTGACTGACGCCTGGCACTTTTGTGACGGATAAACCCATCGTGGCGGCTGTGTTGTCTAATGAAAAACGCTCATCATATGCAGCCCTTTCCAGTTCCAGAGCTTTATCAATAAACAGATCCTGAGCCTGAATTTCACGCGCTCTGAGCGTCAACTGCTCCTTCATCGTGTCGAACTCAGGGTACTCGGGTACAACAATATTTTTAAGCTGAATAAGGTGGTAACCAAAATTCGTAAGCACAGGTTCGGAGATGTCGTCAGGTTCCTGTAAGTTCCACAAAGCGTTCTCAAAGGCCGGGTCAAATATGCCTTTACCCGCGGGCCCGAGGTCGCCGCCAGCGACAGCAGAACCCGCATCTTCACTGTATTGTTTAGCCAGCTCAGAAAAATCTTCTCCGGCGGCGATACGGTTCTGGATATCTGTAATGGCAGCAAGCGCTTCTGCGTCGCTGCGGTCCTGATTGATCTGAATCAGGATATGAGCGCTATCACGTTGCTCGTCTGCCAGTGCAAGTGCGCGTTCGTCCTCATACAGACTCAGAAGGTCCGCTTCGGTGATTTCAATTGAACTGTCGTCCACCAGATCTTCCGCACTCATCTGCAGGTAGCTGACGTCAACGGTAAGGGGCGTCATGTAGTCACTCTGATTCTCGTTGTAACGCAGTGTGACCTCATCCTCGGTGACTTCGACACTTTCGCTGAATTGTTCAACCGTCAGAGGGAGGTAGGCGATGTCCCGCCGTTGAGAAATTATTCTCACAATTTCCGCAAGTTCCCAATCGGGCATGCTGACAGATCCGTAGACGCCGGCTTGCAGCGTTTCTGCGCTTAGTGCGTTGCTGAATTCTTCAACAAAGGATAACGGCGTGTAACCGAGCGCTCTTAGCTGCTGCCTGTAGATCGCTTCATTGAACTGACCATCAACCTGATAAGCTGGACTGTTGATCAACTCATCGTTGACGGTCTCTGGAGAAACGGCAATGCCCAGCTCATCTGTCGCCTGGTAAAGCACCTGGCGATTGATTAATTGTTGCAGGACGTATTCCTGCAGCTGCAATCGATCGATGTTGCTGGGGTCAAAGTCTGGACCCATCTGGCTCAGTAATCGCTGCCGCTCGCGTTCTGTCTCAGTCGCCAGCTGGTTCTGAGTGATGGAAAAACTGCCCACCTGGGCAAGTTCAGGATCACCGCCCATGAACAAGTTGGTAGCACCAAATCCAAATAGCGTCAGCACCACAATGATGGCACCTACCAGGATTTTGAAACCGGTGCCCTGGGTCTGTTCTCTGAGTTTCTGCAGCATGATTGTCTCAATACAACTTACAAAAAACGGGGCGCCTAAGCGCCCCGCTACATTTTCGGCGCAATTCTAGCGCCTTTATGCCAGTCTCGCGACCTAGTTGAGCGCGTCTTTAAGTGCTTTGCCAGGTTTGAACGCGGGTACTTTGGCAGCTGCAATCTGAATCTCAGCGCCTGTTTGTGGGTTGCGCCCGGTGCGCGCGGCGCGCTCCCGAACCAGGAAGGTACCGAAACCAACCAGCGATACCGGATCTGCATCTTTCAACGAGTCAGTAATTGCGTCGATCGCGGCGTCCAATGCACGGCCTGCGGCCGCTTTGGATATATCTGATGATTCCGCGATGCGGTCAATCAACTCTGCTTTATTCACATTAAGCCCCTCTTGTGTATTGCTTAGCGGGTATTTGTTGGATACCGACATTGCGCGGGTCTGCGCAGCAACATTATTTACTCTAGATTCAAAACCCTTACGGGATTCGCCGTTTTATACCAACACCCTGCGGAGGGCGCAAGCGCCTGAAAGCCTTATTTTACCTGCATTTAATGTGGGTTTACGGCAGTAGATGTACTTGTTAACCCTGCTTCGGACTGATTGTCACCCTGTGCTGCCGTCTCAGTATCTATCAATCTTGGCTGCGGAACACGCTCGAGCGCAATTTCGAGAACTTCATCCATCCACTTGACGGCGTGTATGGTCAGGTTAGCTTTGACGTTGTCAGGTATCTCTTTCAGGTCTTTTTCATTGTCGGCGGGAATAATGACATGCGCGATACCGCCACGGTGTGCGGCGAGTAATTTCTCTTTCAGGCCGCCTATGGGCAATACCTGGCCGCGCAGGGTGATTTCACCTGTCATGGCGACGTCGGCGCGTACGGGGATACCAGTAACCACGGAGACAACCGCGGTGCACATGCCGATGCCTGCGCTGGGCCCATCTTTAGGTGTTGCGCCTTCCGGCACATGCACATGCAAGTCGAATTTTTCGTGAAAGTCCTCGGCGAGTCCTAACGAGACCGAGCGACTGCGAACAAATGTCAGTGCCGCCTGAATCGATTCAAGCATTACGTCGCCCAGGGAGCCGGTTTTTGTCTGCCTCCCTTTGCCCGGCACTGCAACGGCTTCGATGTTTAGTAATTCACCGCCGGCCTGGGTCCAGGCTAAACCGGTGACCAAACCGATGTGGTTTTCCTCTTCGGCTAAACCATAACTGAAGCGCCGCACGCCGCTGTATTCTTCAAGGTCGTCAGCATCAATACGAGCAGCACCCTTGGATTTTTTTAGCGCGTGGGCTTTCACGATCTTGCGTGCCAGCTTCGCAATTTCCCGCTCTAAACCGCGCACACCCGCTTCTTTGGTGTAGTAGCGGACAATGTCCAATAAGGCTTCATCGGTAATTTCCAACTCACCCTTAGATAATCCGTTGGCTTTGGTCTGTTTCGGTACCAGGTAACGCTTGGCGATATTCAGCTTTTCGTCTTCGGTATAACCCGGTAAGCGGATCACTTCCATTCTATCGAGTAACGGCGCGGGTATGTTCATCGAGTTCGAGGTGCAGATAAAAAACACCTTGGATAAGTCATAGTCGACTTCAAGGTAGTGATCGTTGAACGTGTTGTTCTGTTCAGGATCTAACACTTCTAATAGTGCGCTCGCCGGGTCGCCGCGAACATCCATACCCATCTTGTCAATTTCATCAAGCAGAAACAGAGGGTTGGCAACGCCAGCCTTGGACATTTTCTGGATGACTTTGCCTGGCATCGAACCAATGTAGGTCCGGCGGTGGCCGCGGATTTCCGCTTCATCCCGCACGCCACCCAGGGCCATGCGTACAAATTTTCTGTTTGTAGCCCGTGCAATGCTTTCGCCAAGACTGGTTTTACCCACGCCGGGTGGACCAACAAGACAAAGTACCGGTCCTTTCATGCGCGATACGCGGTTCTGTACCGCAAGGTATTCAATTATACGGTCTTTGACTTCTTCTAGGCCGTAGTGATCTTCATCAAGAATTTTCTGTGCTGCTGCAAGGTCTTTGCGTACCCGGCTCTTCTTCTGCCACGGTACGTTGACGATCCAGTCGAGGTAGCTACGAACAACGGTAGCTTCGGCAGACATGGGCGCCATCAACTTAAGTTTATTTAACTCAGCCTGGGCTTTTTCTTTGGCTTCTTTGTGCATTCCGGAGTTGTCGATGCTTTTCTGCAGTTCCTCGACTTCACCCTGCTCATTTTCGCCCATTTCTTTCTGGATGGCTTTCATTTGCTCATTCAGATAGTACTCGCGCTGGCTTTGCTCCATCTGCTTTTTAACGCGCCCGCGAATACGCTTTTCCATTTCAAGAACGTCGAGTTCTGCATCCATCAATTCAAGCAGCAGATCCATCCGTTCCTGCAGTGGTAATGCCTCTAAAACAGCTTGTTTATCACTGATGTTCAATGACATTTGCGCTGCAATGGTGTCTACCAGGCGTGTCGGGTCGTCAATACTGGAAAGTGAAGATAGAACTTCCTGAGGCACTTTTTTACTGGCTTGAGCGTATTGTTCGAATTGAGCCAACAGCGTGCGTGCCAGGGCGTCTCCCTCACGGGAATCGATTTCGGGCTCGTCGTGTAACGTAACGCTTGCCTGTATGTAATCTTCGCTGAAGTTAAATTCTGCAACACTGGCGCGCTGTCCGCCCTCAACCAGCACTTTAACCGTGCCGTCGGGTAGTTTAAGCAGTTGTAGAATGGTTGCTACGGTTCCGAGATTATAAAGATCGTCAGCTTTCGGCTCGCCAACCTCCGGGTCTATTTTTGCCAGCAACAGTATCTGTTTGTCATCAGCCATGGCCGCATCGAGCGCACTGATAGAACTCTGGGTACCGACAAACAATGGGTGAACGCCATGGGGGTAAACCACCATGTCGCGTAATGGAAGAACCGGAATGTTTTCTATAAGCGCAGAATCCACGGGGGTGCCTCGAGCAGTGACAAAAAAATTGGTGGCGTGCTCAGTAACCGCCTTTGGGCGGTTTTTGAGCGGCGTTACAAGTAAGTTTAGTCTTCGGGAGCAGCTTTCGCCTGATCGACGTTTTCGTAGATGAGCATCGGATCGCTTTCGCCTTTGATGACGCTTTCATCTATAACTACTTTAGTTACTGAATCGGATGATGGCAGGTCGTACATGGTATTCAGCAGTACGGCTTCCAGAATCGAGCGCAGTCCGCGGGCGCCGGTTTTACGTTCCATAGCTTTTGCTGCAATGGCACGCAACGCATCTTCGCGGAAGTCGACTTCAACATTTTCCATATCAAACAGTTTGGCGTACTGCTTGGTGAGCGAGTTCTTTGGTTCGGTAAGAATGCGAATCAATGCATCAGCATCAAGTTCTTCGAGCGTCGCAACCACTGGCAGACGGCCAACAAATTCCGGGATCAAGCCGTAATGGATCAGGTCCTCTGGTTCAACGCTACGAAGGGTTTCGCCAATACTTTTTCGATCAGCATCACCTTTGACTTCAGCGCCAAAGCCGATGCCTGACTTATCAGAGCGGTCCATGATGACTTTATCAAGGCCGGCAAACGCACCACCACATATGAAGAGGATGTTAGACGTATCGACCTGCAGGAACTCCTGCTGTGGATGCTTCCTGCCGCCTTGAGGCGGAACCGATGCGACAGTACCCTCGATCAGCTTCAGGAGTGCCTGCTGCACCCCTTCACCGGACACGTCTCGCGTGATGGAAGGGTTATCGGACTTGCGGGATATTTTGTCTATTTCATCAATATAGACGATACCCACCTGGGCCCTATCAACGTCGTAATCGCATTTCTGCAGCAGTTTCTGAATGATATTTTCAACATCTTCACCAACGTAACCGGCTTCTGTGAGCGTGGTTGCGTCAGCTATGGTGAACGGGACGTCCAGGAGGCGTGCAAGCGTCTCTGCAAGCAGAGTTTTGCCGCTGCCTGTGGGGCCAATCAGCAGAATATTTGATTTCGAAAGCTCTACATCGTCTTTCTTGCCATTGTAGTTCAGGCGTTTGTAGTGATTGTAGACAGCCACTGCGAGAACGCGTTTGGCATGTTCCTGACCAATCACATATTGATCGAGGATATCTTTAATTTCCTGGGGAACCGGTAGTTTGCTGGATTCACCGGTCTGGGCAGTTTCAGAGACTTCTTCACGGATGATGTCGTTGCATAGCTCAACGCATTCATCGCAGATGAAAACAGAGGGCCCGGCAATTAATTTGCGGACTTCATGCTGACTCTTACCACAAAATGAGCAGTATAAAAGTTTGCCTGAATCGTCTGTTTTGCCGCTATCGTCGGACATATGATCCTCTGTTCTACGTGATTTATGCGCGCTTTTTATAGCGCTGCCGATTAACTGAATTGGCACAGATGCCACTGCATCGGCCAACGTTTAATTCTGGTAGTCAGGCCTTTCGCCTGAACAATGTACAAAAACCTGCTTAAATCAGCCTCTGAATGGATACTTCAGTGCCTTTTGCGGCGCAATTATGACTGATTCTATAGATTTATACAGTGCGGACTGCGCTTTTCAAATGCAAGCCCACAGTGTAAACAGTTTACTGTGGGCTTGCCGCGCACCGGGTCTTATTTTACGGCTGCGGCCTCACGACTTTGCTGGACGTGGTCGACTAAACCGTAGGCCAGCGCTTCGTCCGGACTCATCCAGAAGTCGCGATCGGTATCATTGGCAACCGTTTCCACGTCTTTGCTGGTGTGATGAGCAATCAGTTTGTTCAAGCGCTCACGCATGAGCAGAATTTCCTGGGCCTGAATCTCGATATCCGCTGCGACGCCTCTCGATCCACCACTGGGTTGATGCAGCATCATCCGCGAGTTGGGCAATGCTATACGCTTGCCCGGCGCGCCGGCCGCGAGTAAGAATGCACCCATGCTGGCCGCCTGACCGATACACAGTGTGGCAACGTTCGGGCGGATAAATTGCATGGTATCGTAGATCGACATGCCTGCTGTGACGGAGCCACCGGGCGAATTGATGTACAAGTTAATGTCTTTGTCCGGGTTCTCAGATTCCAGATACAACAGCTGCGCCACAATCAGATTGGCCATGTGATCTTCTACCTGGCCAACTAGAAAGACGATTCGGTCTTTCAGCAGCCGTGAGTAAATATCAAAGGCGCGCTCTCCACGGGCGGACTGTTCAACCACCATGGGCACCATGCCGAGGCCTTGTGCGGGGTTCAACTGCGGATCACGTATATCTGTCATGCATTTCTCCAAAAGCAAAGACCCAAGGGCCTGCAATTATGTTTTATTTACTGTCTTCGTCTTCGGCAGAGAGTTCAGCTGAAGGTTCGGCATCTTGTTCTGAGTTTAGTTCAGCTTCAGGGTCTGCAATGGCCTTGCCGCTGACAACGTCCTCATAACTCGCAGGCACATCTTCAATCTGTGCTGCAGACAATATGTGGTCAACCACCTGTTCTTCAAGCACACCCATCTCAATGTTCTGCAATTGTTCAGGATTAGAGCGATACCAGCTGATCACCTGCTCTGGTTCGCCGTATTGTGCGGCGATTTCACCGAGTCGAGCATCCAGCATCTCCCGATCAACGGACAGCTCGTTTTTCTTGATGATTTCATTAACCACAAGCCCAACTTTCACACGTTGTTCTGCCTGGTCCTGAAAAAGTTCACTGGGTAATTCAGGTTTGGGGCCTGCTCCGCCCATCTGAAACTGATCGAGCATCTGGTCTTTCAGGACCTGGATTTCGCGCTGGATCATCGCATTCGGCATCTGAAAATCGTGTATTTTGGCCAGCTGGTCCATAACCTGCTGCTTCAGCTGGTTTTTTAGCGCGGAGTCCATTTCACGCTGCATATTGTTTTTCACATCTTCCCGGAAAGCAGCTTCACCGCCCTCTTCAACACCGAAGCTTTTAAAGAAATCGTCGTTGAGTTCCGGCACTTTAGCTTCTTTCACCGCTTTTACGGTGACGGAAAACTGCACGGTTTTACCCTGTAGATTTTCGGCTCGATAATCTTCCGGGAATGTGGCGTCAAAAGTAACGGTTTCGCCAGCTTTAGCCCCTTCGACACCTTTGTCGAAGTCTTCAATCATCTGGCCCTGACCAACACGAAAATCGACGTCTTCGCCTGCTGTGCCTTCTACGGGTTCGCCTTCGAAGGTGGCTGAAAAATCTGCAGTAACCTGGTCACCCGCCGCGGCTGCGCGATCGACGGGTTCAAACACTGTGCGTTGCTCACGGAGCCGCTCGATCATGGTATTCAGGTCATCATCGGTCACTTCAGCTTGCGGTTTGCGCACGCTTACCTGAGACAGATCAGCCACATCGACTGTCGGGTACACCTCAAATGTCGCAGTAAATTCGAAATCGATACCCGGGTCCATTTTGACCACTTCCAGGCTCGGGGAACCTGCAGGGTTGAGGTCTTCCTGCTGCACAGCAGACACAAAACTCTGCTGCATGAGCTCACCGGCAACTTCAGCCCGGACAGCCTGGCCATAACGGCGGCGCACTTCTTTGAGAGGCACTTTGCCGGGACGAAAGCCGCTGATGCGTACTTTACCAGCGGCATCATGCAGTCGTTCTGTGATTTGAGATTCGAACTCCTCGCTCGGCAACGCTATTGTGAGTCGGCGTTCGAGGCCAGTCATTGTTTCAATCGATACATTCATGCAGATAATCAGTGTCTAGATGTGTGGATTTTCAGAATGGCTGTGACACACAAAAGGTGTTCGGCCATTCTGGTGAGTTACCTAACCGCAATTTACGTTTGTAAAGTGCTGCATCACAAGGTGGTTAAGAATTGGGGTGGACGATGGGGCTTGAACCCACGACCGCCGGGATCACAACCCGGAGCTCTACCAACTGAGCTACGCCCACCATAGTTTTAACGGTGGCGGATTATATGCCTGGCAGTCGCGTTCTGCTAGAGATTATTGTAATCGTATGTCGGGTGAATGCCCTGGAAAGGTCCAGCAGTACCAGGAAAAGGTCAGTTTGACTGGAAACTCTACACCAAAGACAACTCTTGGAAGGATCTCGATGGTAGAGCGACGTTTTGGCTGAAAGCCAAAACTCGACACCAAACGCGAAGCTTAGAAGGATCTCGATAGTAGAGCGACGTTTTGGCTGAAAGCCAAAACTCGACACCAAACGCGAAGCGTTTGGTACGCCTGGCAGGACTCGAACCTGCAACCCTCGGCTTAGAAGGCCGATGCTCTATCCAGTTGAGCTACAGGCGCTTAATGACAGTATTCGGCTTGATAGGTTTGATTTGGTCGGGGTAGAGAGATTCGAACTCCCGACATCCTGCTCCCAAAGCAGGCGCGCTACCAGACTGCGCTATACCCCGATGCGGCGCGATCATACTACGAAGATTCTGCGGGTCAATGGACTTAAGCCACAAGTTGCGCTCAGATCTCTTCCTGTGGGCTGGGGTGACGCTGTTTTTATCGGTAGAATGGCGTTTTCTGAAGCAGTGAAGTCGATGTCCGCAAAAATAATTGATGGCAATGCCATTGCCAAAGAACTGCGTGGGCATATACGCGAAGAGATTGATGCGTGGGTTGATCAGGGTCGTCGGCTACCTGGGCTGGCTGTCATTCTGGTGGGTAATGATCCCGCCTCTGAGATTTATGTGAAGGGTAAGCGCCGGGATTGTGATGAAGTCGGCTTTCACTCCATTGTTCATCACGTCAGTGCCAAGGTCACCCAGGTCGATCTGCAGGCGCTGGTCACATCGCTTAACGAAGACCCCAGTATTGACGGTATCCTGGTCCAAACGCCTCTGCCAGATCACATCAATCAGGATCTTATCATCGATCAGATCGACCCAGCCAAAGATGTTGATGGCTTCCACCCTTACAACATCGGTCGTCTGGCATTGCGTCGCCCTACTCTGCGCTCCTGCACACCAAAAGGCGTCATGCTGCTCCTGGAACATATTGGTTGCAGCCTCAAAGGCCTCGACGCAGCAGTCATCGGCGCATCCAACCATGTGGGTCGCCCCATGGGGCTGGAACTGCTACTTGCTGGATGTACGGTGACTACGGCTCACAAGTTCACCAAAGATACGGCAGCGAAAATCCGCCTGGCGGATATTGTCGTCTCCGCAGTAGGCAAGCCAGGTCTGGTGCCCGTCGAGTGGATCAAGCCTGGCGCTATTGTCATCGATATTGGCATTACCCGTGGCGCCAACAATAAGCTTTATGGCGACATTCAATTTGATGCGGTCAAAGAAGTTGCATCGTGGATCACGCCGGTGCCCGGTGGCGTTGGGCCGATGACACGGATTGCGTTGTTACAGAACACTATGCAGGCTTCCAGAGCCAACCAGGGGTTTTAGTGCAACGCCTGTTTATCTCAGACCTGCATCTGGACGATCCGTCAGCACCGGCGTTCCTGCGTTTTCATGAATGCCTTGTTTATGAGTCCGAGCGGGTTGACGAAATCTATATTCTCGGCGACCTGGTGGAGATGTGGATCGGTGATGACGACGACAGCGATGCTGCGCAACAGCTGCGTCAGATATTCCGGACGATTACTGCAAAAACGCCTGTGTATCTGATGCATGGAAATCGAGATTTTCTGTTCGGCGAGAAGTTTGTCAGCGATACGGGCGTCACGCTGCTGGCGGACCCGCATCTGACTGAGGATGGATTATTGCTCAGCCATGGCGACATGCTCTGCACCGACGATGTGGATTATCAGAATATGCGTACGCTGCTGCGCAGTGAGGCCTGGCAGCAGGATATCCTCAGCAAAACACTTGCAGAACGTAAGGCCTTTGGCCAATCGCTACGTATGCAAAGCCAGGCAAACAATGCTAACAAGCCATCCAACATTATGGATGTGAATGACGCAGCCACAAGTAGTCTGGTGGCTGAGTATGGCTCAAAAACACTGTTACACGGGCACACGCACCGTCCTGGCATGCATCAGCATCACGGATTTAAACGTCTAGTGACAGGGGCATGGGAGCGATGTGGCTGGCTGGCCCGTCAGCGGGATGAGGAACTGAGGCTGGAGTGTTTCAGCCTGGCACACCGCTATGGAAGCGAAACTCCGGGTCAGGTGTTGTAACCAGGTTGGCATCTTCGCTGAGAAAAGACTCGATGCGATCATCGATATTCTCTTTTGCGATAGACCGCGCCAGACTCAGATAGTCCTGAAAATGCCTGGCTTCTGAGTGCACCAGTTGCCGGTACAGCCCACCGATGCGCTCCGGTAGTATTTCTAACAAGCGAACGAACCGCTCACAGGAGCGAGCTTCAACCACTGCGCCAAGGATCAGAAGATCTATTAACTTCCCAGGCTCCTGCTTGCGTACCAGGCTATGCAGCTGTTGCGCATAACGAGCTGGACTCAGATATGTGTAGTTGATCTGTTCACCGCGCATCAGCTCCAGGACCTGCTCAAAATGCCGGAGCTCCTCTCTTGCCAGTCGTGACATCTTGTCCAACAACTCTGGCTGATCAATGTATTTGTACAGCAAACTGACTGCGGTGCTGGCGGCTTTCTTTTCGCAATTCGCGTGATCTATCAACAGCACATCTAGGTGTGCTGGCACAGCTGCCAGCCATGTATCCGGTGTTGGGCAGTGCAGAAATTCCAGGGCTGGATTCAGGTCGGGGCGACTCATACCGGAATTTTATAGTTGCGTTCGTAGTGCGCCAGAGAGCGACGATAAATTTCACCGTCAATAGCCTGCAATGTGGTCAGCGCATCATCTGTTGCTGTAGATGTCTGTAAACCGCCGGCAGACAGCGGCATGTTCTGAATTGCCAGATGGCGAACCAGTTCGTAACGTTGTTCCACCGCTGCAAGATCCTGCAGGTGTTTCGCCTGGGTGTGTTCGTCGTAGCAGGTTTTATCGATGATGGTCAGAGTATGTTCCACAACTTCGTCACGCAGGCCCTGCAGGCGCGCCCAGATCTGTTGCTGCTGGGATGCCTCGTAGCCATTCCACTGCACAATCTCGTGCGCAAAACGTTTGCAGCCACGGCACACCAGATCACCATAAGTTGTAGAACAGATGCCCACACAGGGCGTACGTCTTGTTTGCGTCACTTCATTTTTTTAACACAGTTGTCAGTGCTTAGGATGCTTTGCCTGGTGTCGAAAAGGCAAGTTTAAATCGTAGTTTTCGAAAGTCCTGGCGCATTTGACGCCGTTCGGCATCTGAGAGACTGGCTTCTGGGTCGTACATGAAACTCTGTAACCTTTGCACCATAGGCTGTGGGTCCAGTTCCGCTTTCAGTGCAAGGCGCCGAAGATAAGCTGCAGGGGTCTCATTGGGGGCCCGCGCGTAGCCCTGTCTGGCCATTGCGCTGGCGAATTTAAAAAACCTGCGTTCAGCTGGGTTACGCTGGCTGGGTCGTCGCCGCCAGAACAGCGTCAAGGCAACCAGTAACATACTCACGCCCCCGCCAATTGCCAACGCCATACCTATCCGCGCCGGCGTCACTTTGCCTAACAGTTTTTGTAAAACGCCGCTCTGAGACGCCGCGTCATATCCGACTACCCAGAAATTCCACCGGTGTTCAATGGAGTCGAAGAATTGCAGGGCACTACTGAGCAGGTCAGCCTCTCCGAGGCGGGCGTTAGTCAGAAAAGATAAGGCGGCACGGTCTTCACCAGAAAGCGCAGCGTTGAGGCCATTTTCAACTCGGGCTGGCGCCACGGCAGCGGTCGGGTCGACTCGTGTCCAACCCGCACCTTCGATCCACACCTCAACCCAGGCATGGGCAAGGTACTGGCGAACTTCGACGTGTCCGGTTCTGGGGTTCACTTCGCCACCCTGGTAACCGCCCACCATCCGGGCAGGAATGTCTGCCGCTCGCAAAGCAAATACCATCGCGCCTGCGTAATGCGTGCAGAAGCCTCTGCGTGTGTCGAACCAGAATTCATCCACACTATTGATACTGCTCAGGGTTGGCGGCTGCAGTGTGTAAACATAATCTCGATTACGAATCTGCGAAAGCATAGCCTCAACCATTGCACTCGGTGAGCCCACTTCAGCTCTCAGTGCGCGGGCATAAGCGCGAATACGTGGGTTGTCGTCGTCGGGCAGTCTGGTTTCGCGGCGTTCAAGCAACCCGTGGAGCTCTAGATCCTGGATGTACTGCGGATCACTGACCAGACGGTAACGTTTAACAGACAATATTGATTCAGGATTAATCAGCCGGTAGTCGCCAAGCATTTTCAGGCGGGGCTCATAGTCCACCGGTGTATCCAGAGAGAACAACCATTCAGCCTGGGTCGGTTCCAGGAAGACCTCGTAACCGATTCCGGGTCCCACCGGCGCAGGAGGAGCAGCCTTGGGTGGCAATGGTCGACCTACCGTCCAGGTCCCTTGATCAAACTCGCTGTACACCAGGCCGCGCCAGTAAAGTTCACGAGTTGGTGGTACCTCGTCTTCAAAAACCGCGCGAAAGGCGAGCTCGTTGGACATGGTTAAATTAGCAACGTCACCAGGTTTGATGCTGTCACTGATCCCTGTGGTAGCGGATGACGGCATTGGTATAGACCACAGCGGCGCGATACGCGGAAACAGCAAAAACAGCACAATTGTTAAAGGCAGCGCCTGGAAAATAAGCGCCGCAGCGAGTTTTATTGATGCCAGCGGCCGCACCCTGCTTTGCAGTTGGTTCATGCCGACCATTGCGGCAGT